TCGAAAATTACCGAATATCATAATTCTTCCAAGGGGTAAAAATACGTCAAGGCAAATGCTGGGCATAGAAGCCACAGGGCATAAATCTGCAAAGAAGTAAAAAGCTAACCTTTTCAAAGAATATTGCTTCTCTCTCACTTATCAACTTTACATTTCCCTGTATGGCCCCAGAAGACGGCTGGTTAGCCAGAGATGGGTAAAATTCCTCAAGGGAGGAACAACCTAAGACAGGCACAGTCACAGGGGGGCCATCAGGTGAGAAATTGGGGATCAACATGGGTGAGGCTTAGAACCTCACCCCCCCTGTTTTGAGAGAAATCTTCTGCATCCGTGGATGTTTTGTTGCCCTTGTCTAGCTTGGATTAATACTTAGTCTATAGGCACACACCTGATCATCTACATTTGCCCTCTTACAGCATTAAATTATGTTTTCTACCTTTATCTTGCATCTACCTACCACTTCAGCATTTTATTTAAAAAAAATAATAATAAGGGAGAAATGTGGGATTCACATATAAATCAAGTATAAAAATCAAATGAATAATCATATCTGACTTGATTGTTTATAGTTCATGATGTGTGATCAAAACTGAAAGTTTCTGTGATATGACTGCCCTTGCACTGTTCACCATGTAAGAACTTATTCACTATGTAAAAACTTGTTCACCATGTAAGAACTTGTTCGTTATGCTTCAGAAGACTGGAGACTGTTGAGAATTAGGCTTGGGGTTGATTAATGATTGTGCATTGAGTCCCCTATACAGAATTTTATTGTTGTTAACAACCATTTAATCAATAAATAGGAGAGATGCCCTCTCAAAAAAAAAAAAGCAGAAGAGGAGGGAATACTTCCAAACTCATTCTATGAGTCCAGCATCACTCTAATACCAAAACCAGACAAAGACACTACAAAAAAGAAAATTTTAGTCCAATATCCCTGGTGAACATAGATGTAAAAATCCTCAACAAGATATTAGCAAACCAAATTCAAACATACATTAGAAGGATCATCCCATGACCAAGTGGGATTTATTCCAGGGATGCAAGAATGGTACAGTATTCATAAATCAATAAACATACACCATGTTAACAAAAAGAAGGATAAAAACCACATGATTATCAAAGCAATGTTGAAAAAGCATTTAACAAAATTCAACATCCATTCATGACAAAAACTCAAAAAATGGGTACAGAGAGTATGTGCCTCAACATAACAAAGGCAATATACAACAAACAAACCCTCAGCTAACATTATACTCAATGGTGAAAAGCTGAAAGCTTTTCCTCTAAGATCAGGAATAAGAAAAGGATGTTTACTCTCACCACTTTTATTCAACAGAATAATGGAGGTCCTAGCCATGGCAATCAAACAGGATAAAGAGATAAAAGGCATCCAAATTGGTAAGGAAGAAGTTAAACTGTCACTATTTCCAGATGAAATGATATTGCATATAGAAAACCCTAAGGACTCTACCAAAAACCTATTAGAACCAATAACTGGACTCAGCAAAGTTGCAGGATACAAAATTAATACACAGAAATCTGCCAATTCCTGAATACTAACAATGAACTAGCAGGAAGAGAAATCAGGAAAACAATTCCATTTACAATTGCAACATAAAGAGTTAAATACCTAGGAATAAGCCTAACCAAGGAGGTAAAAGACCTATACTATGTAAACTACAAGACAATCATGAGCGAAATTAAAGTAGACACCAATAAATGGAAATCTAGCCTGTGCTCATGGATAGGAAGAATTAACATTGTCAAAATGGCCATCTTACCCAAAACACTATACAGATTCAATGCAATCCCTATCAAAATACCACTGGCATTTTTCAATGAACTACAGCAAATAATCCTGAAGTTCATGTGGAACCACAAAAGACCACAAACAGCCAAAGCAATCCTGAAAAAGAAAACAAAAGCTGGGAACTATTATGCTCCCTGACTTTAAGCTCTACTACAAAGCTACAGTAACCAAAACAGTATGGTAAGGGCATAAGGACAGAACCATATATCAATGGAACAGAATAGAGAGCCCAGATATAAACCTACACATATATGGTCAACTGATGTACAATACAGGAGACATGAATATACAATGGGGAAAAGACACTCTCCTCACTAACTATTGTTGGGAAAACTGGACAGCTACATACAAGAGAATGAAACTGGATTACTGTCTAACCGCATACACAAAAGTAAACTTGAAATGGATCAAAGACATAAATGTAAGACATGAAACCATAAAAGTCTTAGAAGAAAACATAGCCAAAAATCTCTCAAGCACAAGCAGTATTTTCCTGGACACATCTCCCCAGGCAAGGGAAAGAAAATAAAAAATGAGCAAGTGGGACTACATCAAACAAAAAAGCTCCTGAATAGCAAAGGAGACCACCAGTAGAACAAAAAGGCAACCTACAGTGTGGGAGAATATATTCATAAATGATTTATCAGACAAGGGGTTAACATCCAATATATGTAAATAACTCATACACCTCAACACCAAAAAAAAACCAAACAACCCAATTAAAAAATGCACAGAAGACCTGAACAGACATTTTTCCAAGGAAGAAATACAGATGGCCAACAGGCACATGAAAAGGTGCTCCACATCATTCATCATAAGGGAAGTATAAATCAAAACCATAATGAAATATCACCTCACATCAGTCAGAATGGCCACTATCCAAAAGACAAGAAATAACAAGTGTTGGTGAGGATGTGGAGTAAAGGGAACCCACCTACTCACAGACAATGAAAAGTAACTGCTGGTTACCATGGGGGAGGGGTTGAGGTGGGTGGGTTGGGAGGGAGAGGGGGATAAAAGAGCACAAAATTATTAATCATAATTTAAGTTGGTCATAGGGATGGTAATAAGCATGGGGAATACAGTCAATGATCTGTAACATCTTCCTATGTTGACAGATAGTAACTGAACTAGTGAGGGTAAGGGTTTAGTAATATGGGCAACTGTTGAACCACTGTGTTGTATACTTGAAACCAATATAAGATTGTATATCCAATACTTCAATTTAAAAAAAACTGAAATTAAAAAAAATATATATATATATGTAAGCACTCCGCCCGGTGTATACAGAGTAAGCACTAGATCCTTAATAAGGTGCTATCTCCAAGAAGGGGGAAACAGTCCTAGGAAGCACAAAAACAAATTGTATTATTTTTATGTACAAAGCACATATATAGATACAGAACACACACAGGTAGATAGTATACCTATGGCATTAACATTTCATGGTGGGAGCTAGGGGAGAATTAGGAAAAAGTCTACAAGGCTCCTTAGAGGGACAGTAATACCCAAAAGATTGAGAAACACTGCCGTCCATGGATGAGAACTAAGGGCATAGTGAGGACAGAAGCCAAAAAGCTCCAAACGGCTGAAATACAGAAATGGGCTCTGTTACTTGGGCAGATTCCTAGTCTAAGGACTGGTCAGTCTTGACTGCTTTTCCCGAAGGCCCACCCCCTGCCTAGGCTGTCAGGGCTGTTATCTGTTGGGACTGCTCTCGGCTGGAGGAAATGCTTCCTGCCACCTCCACCTTGCAGCACATTTATGCACAGCCAAGCCTGGCCATTCTTCTCCCTCTCCTCCATCCCTATTTTGCATATTATTAAAGCCAAATCATTTGGATGTCTGGGCTGAGAGAATTTTACTTTTTGCTTCTGTGAAACCTATCTCAAAATTGATGCATGTGCTAAAAATACATGCAATGTAAATTTGCCTCAGAATGACTGATTTTTCCATAATTCTGAGAAAGAGGAAGTTGCCCAAAGATGTCATCTGTCTGCATACAATTTGGGTTAGAAAGAGAAAATCCTTATCAGTCCCTTATTATATAGCTCTCAATTCAGCACCAGGAAACGGTGTAATTTGAGACAGTGAATATCATCAATTACTGAGGAGCTCTGTATTCCTCAGTAACTGTATTCCTTGAGAGAAGGAAAAAGGTCTCTCTTCAGCATACTTGGCGGTGCTTCTTCGGGTAGAAGGGGAGGGAAGCAAGGAGGAGGAAAAACACTGCACCATCTGGGCTGTCAGAATAGAGATGAAAAATAGAACAGCCACTCAACTCCCCCCATCACTGGGAATTCAGTCGCATGCTTTTGATGCACAAAATATGAACACAATTAAGCCAAGTTAGAAAGGAATCAGCTTGACAGCTCATTTCTCTCTGCAATCTAGCCCCTCCTTACTGAACACCTACTAGGGCCAAGGGCAATGGCGGCTGCCTTGCATATTCTCTCCTCTTGCTGAATCTTCTCAACCAGCCCTTTTGACAGAAGTAACCCCTCAGCCTGAGAGTGACAGAGCCAGAAGCTGAACCCGTGTTCTCTGAGTTTAATATCATAACCCTTTAAGTTTCAAGAGACTGAAACAGATTCCAGCCAAAAATGCTAAGTATGGTTCACTACCCTAAAAAACCCAGGAGCAAATGCTTCAGGCATGGCTGTACCTGGTGGTTCAGTGTATCTCTCCTCTTGGCTCCACTTCCTCTGGGTGGGCTTCGTTCCTCAGCAAAGCTTTACTCCCATGGCAGCCCCTGAAAACCCCCAGCCAAGCCCTCACATCTCCAAAAGTTCAGCAGTTTCTAAAAGATGTTTTTCACTTCTTTCTCTCTCTCTAGTAGATGCTAGGAGAAGTCCCCAGGACTGAGTCTCCTTCAGGCAGTTCAGAATCCTTTGTGGAAGCCTTTGCTGCAGGGGTGGGGTGGAGAGGGATAGGGAGATGAATGCTCTGATTGGCTGAGCCTGGGTCATGTGTTTACCCCCAAAACTGTGGGTACGGAGAGGGGAAACTTTTGAACTGAGTTAGGTGGAATGAAGAACAGGTAATCTTCCCAGAACAAGGATTAGAGGGCAAAATATAGTCCTCTTAGAGGGCAAATAGCCCTTAGCCCCTCATCCCTTACCCAACCCTCTATCCTCTCACCCAGTTTGCTCTTACAGCTCTTATCATGCTTTGACATTGTAGCATAAATTTATTTATTTCCATGAAGGCACAGTCCTAGCAGTATATCCCAGTACCCAGAAGAGTGATGGCACATGATAGCTGTTGAGCATTTATTTGTTCAGTACAAGAATGAATTGAGTCAGAAACACCAAACCTGCCTCTCAGCTAGAAATAACTGGGTGTAGGTGAGGGGGCATGTTAGAGGAGAGAATAAACAATCAGCATTCCTAGTGGGAGCTTCATAAAGTCTCAGCACCTGCACACTTGGGCGAGTGGAGAGTTACCCCCACCTCCAACCCCTTCCAGTCCAAAGCGGGCCAATGGATAGATTCCAGGGTCTGTTCCGTCTGGTTGGTCTGTTCCACTGCCTGTCACAAGAGGGCTCCTGCCCCTGAGCTGCAGAATCCCGAGATAGGGGATTCATGGGTAGGGCCCATGAACCAGCATTTCAAGCAAGTTCTAGGTGCTGTTCCTGATGCCTTAGGAACCACATTTTGAGAATCAAGCTTTCCTACAGTCAAAGACATTTCCTACTAGTATTCCAAAGTTGGTGGGCAGCTAGTGAGTAGCAGGGGGTCCCCTGGAAGGTACTGCAGGGAGCTTGCCTAGACAAGCCAGATGTGTGAAGTGAATTAAATCATTCCCCAAAGGCAAGCCTTGACGGTATGCAAAATGTGGTGTGGGTAGCCCCAGCAAACTCCCAAGGCTGTGGTTCTCAAACTGCCATCCTCTGGCCAGTGGCCTCACAATCCCCCAGAGAAACTGTTAAAAGACAGATTCTAACTGAGGGCCATCCAGGAATTGTTTGGAAATCATACCACGGTTTTTTGTTGGTTGTTTTTCAGATATATAGAAAAAGATAAGGAAGGATTGGCTTCAGTTGAATATGTTGGCTGACGTGTCCAATGATCTTCCAAATGCAAGTTGGAGGCCAAGGAGAGCTGATGGTGCAGATACCACCCGAGCCCAAAGGCCTTAAAACCAGCAAACCAACTAGGCAAGTCTCTGTCCAAGTCCAAAGGCCTGAGAACCAGGAACATGAATGTCCAAAGGCAGGAGAAGATGATGTCCCAGCTCAGGAGAGAGCAAATTTGCCCTGCCTCTGCCTTTTTGGTCCATTCAGACCTTCAAAAAACTGGATTATGCCCACCTGTACTGGGGAGGGCGATTCTGTTTGCTCAGCCAGGTTGCAAGGGTGGAGGTGGCAGGGAGGGCCAGCAGTCAGCCTCGCTTTCATGAGGGAGATCCTCCCAGAGACCCAGCCTGGCCAGCCAGCTAGGCACTGAATGCAAGATTCTTTCTTATTCAAGCGTGAGAACCACAAGGATCATAACAGAATGTGATCAGTTCAGTGCATTCTCTCAGAACCAGGGCTCACAATCACAGAGGCAGATGATCTGAGGCTGATGGAGGACAAAAGGCAAAGAGGATTTGCTAAGCAGGCCCATCCACTGCACACCAGGCCCTTTAGACACAATTGTCTAAATCCTCACAACACCCTGTGCTGTGAGGTGGGTATAATTAGCCCCATTTTACAGATGAGGAAACCGAGGCTCAGAGAGGTTTAGTAACTCTCCCAGCTAATAAGGAGTGAAATCCAGATTCAAACCCATAATGCTGACTCAGAACATTACCTTCTGTCTGCCAAATGAGAACGTGGAAACTGAAGGCAGGACAGTCACCAGCAGAAGGTCAGTCAGGCTCTTTAGGAACCCGGGCGCTTCCAGCATCCAGACTTCAAGTTCAAGGTGAGAGGCTGTGAGGAAGGACAGCCTAAGAAACATCTGAGAAACTCCCCCTTTATGCAACACCCCATGGGGACTGAGACACTCTCTCTCAAGCTTTATCCTGAACCACGTACCAACCCTGTTGCATATGAAGCTGAAACAATCACGCACAAGATGAAAATTAAACCACCCACCTGAACACTGAAGAAGACCCAGTGCACTTCCAAAAGAATGAGTCTACATTTCCCCTTTTCTTATTTAGCCCTTGTTCGGAAATATTACCATCCAAGTATGCAATTTGTGGGTTTCCCTAGTTTCACTGTCTGGCAGGTGAGAGCCCCAAGACACACAGCATTCTGAGTCTTAACTGAATAATACAAATTAAAGAGCTGGACGTTAGGAGGAAGACCCTATAAGCATGCCCAATCTCATCATTGTCGTCATCACTGTTACTCATGCTTCAGTTAGCAGCACTCACCAAAAGTTCAATTCGAGATTCCAATTGCACCCTGTGTTTAAAACACGCCAACAGCTCTTTTTTTTTCCTGTACCACTGGTTGTTAAAACTGATTTTTTGAAGTCACCATTAGAAGTGAAGCAATAGTGGTCTCTAGTGGAAATCAAGGGTATGTACAGTGATTTATAGGCCCTAAATTGCACAGGCTCCTTTGAAGCCCACTCGTAGAAAATGGCCCCGTTTTCAGAGATGGTGTTTGCCAGTGAGTGCCCGAAACCTGAGGCCACACTTAGGAGCCATTCCTCAGGGCTGTGAAAAGTGCCCTTCCTCCTGTTGGCCGCCAGCCTTCCTACCCTGCACTCCTCAGTCACCCACGGTGTTCAGAAGCGGCTGCTCAGGAGATGCTCTCTGGGACTCAGTGTTCCAGTGAGTTTGACTGGAATTGTGTGATTGTCTTCAAATATCATTTTCGGAGTGGGGCCGCACTCCTTAGACACCTTCCTTTCTGGATGCCCACTCAGAAGTAGCTGTCAAGCCCCTGACAAACCGTTGCTTTGGTTTGTGTCCTTGTAACATGGCAAAGAGGTATAACTAAGGCTGGCATGGGTGTAACAGAACTCCAAGGGCTAAGGGGGCCCAAAATGCTTGGTAGAGTTCTCCACCAGATGAAGAACAGAGTTTTATTTTTTTTCTGTTTGGACAAACATTTTGCCATTTTTCACACTATATCAGAACAAACTGAATTATGACTTATATTTCACAATTTGGGAAACCGCCTTTATATACAATGAATGTTAAAGTTCACTTATTATGAAATTTGACATGCACACAGAAGTGTATCTAAATTATGTGGAACATATAAAGAATAAAAATAAAGTGAGCATCCATGTGGCTAAGAATGAGCCCGGGCTGAAATAAACATTGATTGCCGGGACCCCTGTGTCCCTCAGTGCATCCATGCCCACTCGAGGGATGACCCCTAGGCTAACTTTTGTGATCGTTTCCTTGTTTGCCTTTGTAGTTTTCCACTTGTGTTTGTATCTGCAAGGAATAAATTTAGTTTTGGTTACTTCTGAACATTATGTAAATGGACAGTTGTGACTGCTCTATAATATTCCATTGTACTAATCAACTACTTTTGATGAGACTTGGGTAGTGTGTCAATTTTTTGCTTTGGCAATAAAGGCTGCTATGAACAGTCTCATATGTGTCACCTGGTTCCCATATGCAAGGGATCCTCTAAATGTTTTCTGCAAATAGCCAGATAATAAATATCTTGGGCTTTATGGACCACATGGTCTCTCTAGCAATTTTTCAATTCTGCCATCATATTGTAAAGCAACCACTACCATATGTAAACAAATGAGCATGACTGTGCTCCAGTCAAATTTTATGTAACAAAACCAAACCAAACAGAACAGGTTGGCAGGCAGGGTTTGGACGACAAAAGTTAGCTGACTCCTATAAAGATGAATTGCTTAGGAGTGGAATTGCCAGGGCCACCCCATTGCACAACTCTATAGCAGCCCCAAGTGGTGTGGTACACAGCCTGGTGCAGCCAGAAGCTGTAATCCTGGCTGCTGGGTCACAGGGCATGTGCCCATTCACCTTCACTGAGTAATGCCTAACTCCCCAAAGTGACTTCATGAGTTTACACTCCCACCAACTGTGAAAAAGGGTCCTCATTACTCTTATCCTTACCACTACTTGGGATCATTAATTCATGCCAAACCCATGAGTGCACAATAGTTTTGCTTTGCATGTTGTTGATAAGTAGCTGAGTCTTGAGTTCACACATTTCTGACAGCAATACCACTTTTCTATCAATTGAAAATAAGACATTTCTTAGGGCCCTCAAGTAGTAGAAACTCATGCCTCCGTATCTCCCTCTTGCCCTGTCCCCCTAAACCATGCTTACACATCACTGAGGCAAATGCCTTGGCGATTCAAGCCATGCTTCCTGCTGCATCTTTCCATCCTAAAATTCAGAAGGGAGATGGCAATCAGGGAACACATATAAACACATTTATTATGACTGAAAAATGAAGTCAGACTTTTTGCATCAGCAAATGAGCCCAACAGGGCCAATTAACTTGAAAACAAGAATCAGTCTAGCCAATTAGATGACGTGGTAGATATATTTTTCTAAATTGAATGGGGCAGTTTCTTGCTCCAAGGTTTTAATACATATGTTTAAAGGCAGTTACCAGATAAAGGCACTTATTTTTTTAAATGTATTATCAGAGAGATACTGAAGTTAGTTTTTTAAATTTCTCAGCACTTTGAGTATTTCAGGTTATATAAGGTGCCTCTAAGTTCAAAAATAACAGGTACAATGAATAATTATTTAATAAGTCTTGGAATGTAAAATACATTCCAGAAATTGCAAAGGTGAATGGCTCTTACAACTGAGTAACAAATCTTTTTCGCAATTCTTTGCTTGCAACAAAATTGAAGGAGCCTAATAATTAATTTGTCAGCAAATGGATTCTTAAAGTTCTGATAAATTCTTGTGTGATTTTTGACATATTGCTCAGAAGTTCAAAGAATCAAGATATCTATATAGATATCTACATATAATATCTGTAACAGAAACTCCTATCCCTATCCACTTATTTATGTGAATGAAGTTACCTCAATACAAATGAAAAATAGGACTGTAATTGATATTGAACCCCATATCATTCTGACAATAAGTAGTATTCACCCACAGATCTACAATTCAATTAGAAAAACATTAAACAAAATTTTACTTTTTAAATAATTATCAACATATGTATACAGTTTATACACTAATTGTATTGTTGGCTCAATTCAGAACTTTTTAATACTTAAAGCTACTGATCATAAAAAATTTGTTAAACCATATATTTGTCAAACTATATATATATATATATATATATATANGTTTAAATATATTTTTTAATAGGTGGTGGATAACAAATTGCCATGGTTTTTAGATTTCAACAGACATCAGAGTAACAACACTTTATTTTTAAATGTCCGTATTTACCCAAAAACTTGGCTTACGGTGACCCAGATGGGCTTTCTAACTACGGAAGCTGCCTCTTGTTCTTTTTCCAGTCTTTTGCTTAAGCAGGTGTCAAGCTTTTCAAATAACCATGCAGTTTCCTCCAAGAATGCGATTAGGCTGCCCCCAGCCCTAATCCCCTCAGGGCAGAGCTGCTTCAGAATATCCTCTGAGGAGAGAAGTCCCTGCCTTGGAAAGACGATGTGAGGAGGACCAAGCTCTTCAAAGAGGGGCTTTCTGCTGTTTGGAGGCAGTGCAGCCTTGCTGTGCCCTTCACAGTCCCCGCGCAGACGCAGGGAATCCTGAATGGTGGGGAAAGGAGTGCTCACTGAGTTGCCTGATTCCCAGAAGCTGGGAGGGTCACAGTGCCTCGGGCCCGGGCTCCCGGGAAGCCAGAAGCAGGTTTGCAGCGCAATCCCTACCTCTTCCCTCCATCCCTGGGGACAGGGCCACGGGGGGGCGGGGGGAGGCGGGGGGGTCTCAGCCCAAGACTGCAGCGACCTCTCTCGGAAACGGCCCTGAAGATCCCTTCAGCAAGACCCCTTCTCCCCAAACAGGGACTGGAGAGCAGCCACTCACTCCGGTATTTAAGAGAGCTTGAGGCCACTGCTTCAAACGGGCTCATCTGCGACCTGAGGGCCGCTTACCGCCCAGAGTCCTCAGCGATAGAAATGGAACTATCAGAACGCACCTGTCAGGGTTTCGCTGGGCCGGAACGTGGCAGATTCTAGGCGGCGGATGCGCGCGCACGCACGCATGCACGCACGCTCCGGCGCACGCGCACGTTGGGGACCGCACCTTCCACGCGAGCGGGGAGTGAAGACAGTGCGGGGCACTGGCCCACAGCGCCCGTCGGGGTGTTGGGGAACAAGTATCTCCCCAAACCACTCTGCACCTCACATTCTGGGCTCCTGAGTTGGAGAGAACAGCTTTCCCTGATTAAAGGGAAAGTTCGAGTATGTAAAGATAAGTTAGCAGCTGACACCTAGCACGCTCTGATAAAATGCAGCTCCCCCTGTCCCCACATTAACCTGGGAGTTACGGTGCTAGCATGTCTGGCTTTACAAGTCCAAGCCACACATCGAGGACAAGCTAGGCCTCCCGCCCAGGCCTCCGTTTCAGTCTAAGTTCTTATCCCTCCTTAGGGTCCCTATTTAAAGACCCCACAGCCCATCCTCGGTATCAAATCCAACTTGACCATATTTACACACACACAGAGTCTACTGTGTTGCCAGATGCCGTTTTAAGCAATTTATACATACTCATCTGTTCAATCCACACTATGAATATGGACTGTTATTATCACATATAATAGATGGGGAAACCAAGGTCTGACAAGATTGTGCAACTTGTGTAACCTGGCACAAGGCTCATCAGCAGTAGAGTCCCCCCAAGTGTCCACAGTGTGGGTCCAGAGTCTCACTCTCAACCCCACGTTCTACTGCGGCGTCTGGACAGGATGTTCCCAGCCTGCTGCAGCTGACTGAAAACACAGGGTATCCCCCTAGCCAAGTTCAGCATCATAGAGAAGGCAAGGAGGACACAGGCGGTGTGTGCATCTCTTCAGCTGCCCCCTTGGCTTACTGGGCCTGCTTGCCCTTGTCAAGAGGCTTACAAATGACCGGACTTCATACACACAACCACCACCACATCTCACAAAAGTAGTGAGCTTTAGTATCAGCAAGTGCTTCCCATCTCAGGACTCTCTCTTTCACCCTGTTGCAATCCATAATTTTTTTAAAGGTCTATCCAAATTACCCATAACACAAAGTTGGGGAGACCCAGTATGTCACAAGGGCAGAAACAGCAGTTTCCTTCAAGTGCCCATAATGACCCAGGAAGCAGTAGGGACAGAGGCCATCCCTCTGAAACCTCCTGGCTGGCGCTTCCTCTGGACCAGTATCACATTAACCACATGGTGCAATTATCCCCATCTTAACCTGTAAGAGGTTAGGAGAAGCGAATTGCCTTGATTACAATAACACAGAGAAGTGGTTCCAGCACCTAGTCTCAGATAAATGCCAACAAGAACTGAGAATGAGTTGGTGCCTGGGAGAAAGAAGGCTAATGTAAGAGGACGGTAGGGACAGGACAAAGACCGCTGAAAACGGCTCCACCCATATGTGATGGACACTTAAATGCAAGGGTGACAGACAAAAATGGAATGATATTACTCAGGCCTTAACTGTAAAAAAAAAACAAATAGTGTTTATTCATCTAGATTTATAGTTTCCTTTAGAGATTTTCTCCCCATTTGTCCCGCATGTAATGTGTGTATGAGTATGTAAAGGAGAAACAGAATGACAACTCAAAAAAAGAATCTTTTAATAAAAATCACTCATAAAAACCCTAATAAATTTCAAAGAGCAAGATATTTCTAGTACATTTATAAAAGAACATTTGGCCCTTTTACAAAAAGCTCCCTTTTAATTTAAATACATTTCTTATTTACAGATTAAACATAAAATATCATCTATAGTTGCAAAGCATATTGCACATTACAGAGAGAAGCATCTGTATATTTCAATAAGTTTTCCCAGAGATTCCAACTCTAGGTTTTTTTGTAAAAACATATTTATCTTTCTTGTGCATAATAAATAAAAATGCAGCTTGTGTTTTGCTGTTTAAAACTAAAACAAAATACCTTTAAAAAATATTATTTCTCTGCCTCTGAGAAAGAGGGAAGGTGGGTAATGAATAAGGGGTCCACAGGTACTTAATATTTTCACCAGATTCACATCCAAATTCAAGCTTGAACATAACCCTGAGCCCTGCCAAACCTGGGGACAGACCACCCAGCCTGCCCCACCTTCTCTTTCACAAGGGTCCCTGCCCTGCAGGGAAGAGGCACTAGAGAAGGGGCTGGAAGTCTGGGAATGGAAAAGATCAAGATTTTTTTTCTTAAGTCTCTGCTCAGCCACTCTGGTTAGAGCCATCATTCAGCCCTATCTTTTCACCAGCACTAAATGAGAAACGTTGAAGAAGACCCTTTCTCCAGAAAGGAGAAAGGAACACCTCATGTTGAGCCTACAAAATCCAAAATGAAGGATTACAGTTTTCAGTCATTCAGTAAACTGAGCTAAGAAAACAGCTATGAGGGGCATTTTTCTTTGGTCGGGGAGAGAAGAGGAAGGGGAAGGGGAAGGGGAGTCAAGTTCAGGTCCTCAGATTGCACAAGAACATATATCCAGCCTCCTCTAACATTCATCTGCAGACACCATCCTGGTGCATAAATACACTGAAAGTTATTTAAGTGACATGTGCACACCCCACGACCCAGGGCAGCCTCAGAACCTGGAGATTCTATTGCACATAGCACGTTCTACAGCACTAAATGAGAAACGTTGAAGAAGACCCTTTCTCCAGAAAGGAGAAAGGAACACCTCATGTTGAGCCTACAAAATCCAAAATGAAGGATTACAGTTTTCAGTCATTCAGTAAACTGAGCTAAGAAAACAGCTATGAGGGCATTTTTCTTTGGTCGGGGAGAGAAGAGGAAGGGGAAGGGGAAGGGGAGTCAAGTTCAGGTCCTCAGATTGCACAAGAACATATATCCAGCCTCCTCTAACATTCATCTGCAGACACCATCCTGGTGCATAAATACACTGAAAGTTATTTAAGTGACATGTGCACACCCCACGACCCAGGGCAGCCTCAGAACCTGGAGATTCTATTGCACATAGCACGTTCTGGCAGGAGAACTGGAACGAACTTGAAGGAAGATATGACAAGGGAAGCTGGTTTTTCACAGAGGTCAGCACAATCAGAGAGCTAGCAAATACTTCCTTTGTCATCTCCTCTTCAGGAAACATCTGAAATAAAATAGCAAAGCCTGCCCTGTAAGGATTTAGAACTCAGTGGTGGGAGATTTAGACTCCACCAAGCCTAACTGTAAGGCAGCTTTCTACAATGGTTTTGCAAAATCATTTTCCTCAGGTCGACCAAAGCAAACTCTAGACACTAGCTACACACACGGATGTGAGGACGGATGGTGCAGGCTCACAGCTGTTCCAAGGGATGACACCCATTCAGAAACAGGGTGTCCTGGGGACAAAGCACTTCTGACGCTCCCTTCCACAGCCCTCCCCTACCCGGTATCTCACAACGCCGAATAGAAGGACAGCAGAAGTCCTGCAGGGTATTTCACAGTTGCTGACATTCGGATTTCCACCAAGAAAACAAGCCAAGTTTGAACTTGGTTCAAAGAATCTTCTTTTGATGGCTGGCACTGAGCAGCATACTGCCATCTAGTCTCACAGATCACTGACGAGGAGGCACTCAACGTTAGACTGGCTAGTCTGGAAGATCAACGATCAGTTCTAGTCTGCAGCAATTCGCTCAATTGCAGACTCGTCAAATGGCACAAGCCCAGTGCCCAGAAGTCAGGAGGGGTTGAGACTGCATACAACACATGTCCGTGTCAGCCCATAGCCCCTGGGGTGCCTCTGCAGCACTCAGGCACAGATCCCCATGCTAGAGCTCAGAGGAAGGATGCCTGAGTTGATGGCAGGTTATGGGCCCAGACGAGGGGGATTACTAGAGTGCTACACGTCAATGTTGTCACAGAAGCTGGAGAGGGAACCCGGGAGGGTGACAGGAGAGAAAGAACAGATGCACAAAGGACCTGCTTTCTTCCTATTCTCCCAAACCGGCCATTTATAGTCCCATCTCCATCTGCCTGGAAGATGATACAGGGACATTCACACCTGTGTGTGCATGTGTGTGCGTGTATTTCAAGTGGGATGTTTTGGTGTTACTGAGTCAATGAAAACACTTAAAATATATAGTATTCGCAAAGAAAATTTTTCCACTCAGTAGCTGAGACATTGTTCATAAACAGAATGCTTCTGAAATGAAGAAAAAAATGGTAAAACAGAGGACCATTTTATGGAAAAATGGTAAATAGAAAAAACATTTGATTTTTTACTTTAAAGCAATTTGCATAGCAAATGTTTAAAAGATAGAGGTGACACATTATGGAAAATCTTTTTTTAAAAATCTCAAAGACGTTGAGTTATAGATCTATTTTTAAAAAACAGTAACACTTAAATTTTCAGGAAGGAATAAAATGTCTCTTTTTTGATTGACAATGTAATGGCTTAGACAGTGCTTACTCCTGGTTTTAAAAAGGCTAAAACGAAAGCATTTCAAGTTTGCAAGCAGGGACAAGCAGGCAACATGACAGATGAGGCTGGAGGTTTCTATGAGACTTTCCTACCCTTTCTATTGAGATTCATTTCAACCTCAGATGTCATATGCAAGCCAGGCAAGGAGGTCAAATCCACCTCTGCTTTGTACGAGCATTCAGTGTCAGTTCCAAGACAGATACTTCCATTCTGGCGACAGAAATAACAGAGAAGAAAGAAGGCATTTTAGTACAACTCCCTTATATATGCTTGCTTGAAGTATCAGGTTGAAAGGCAAGGACTGGCCAGGAAATTTGCAGAATCTAAGTAACACCTATCCCATTCTCCTTGCACTGTGGCCTCCCATGTGGCAATATAAAACATGCCTGCTAAAAATCACAGCAGCAGCTTGTGACATCCAGTGGCCCAAACCAAAATCGTATAAGGCACTAATCTAAAGCCTGTATCACAGAGAAATGGATCAAGGATGCCAAAAAGTCATCTGATCATTTCTTTCTCCCTGACTCAGCTGATTGGCACTAGACACAAAAACAAAAACAAAAACAAAATTCCAACCCTAACTTGGTTAGAACTGAGAATCCTTGGCTAGTAATATATGGGACAGTTGGAAGCTCAGACAATCTTAGGTATTTCTCTCTTCCTAAAAGGCACCTGGTTCTGGAACTATGGGAGTTCTTCAGGTAAATTCAAAATAAATGTCAAATATTACCCGAAAGATCTAGCTGTGAAGCTATTAAACTGTCATATGACAATCTGAGAGACAGCTTCCTAGAATTCAGATAACTGTCATTAGCAAGCAAATAATTTGTAACAATGTGAAGATTACTTGGGGTGCAAATGAATATCTGGATGATTTTTTCGCCATGTGATACAAAATTATAGGTGGTTACCTTGGGGAGAGCCCACTTATGTAATACGAGGGAGAGAGGGCAAAAAAAATGCAATAAATAGGGATGTTCAGTGAACCTCAGTCCCCTTTGCACAGAAATTTCATTCACAATCCTCCATCAGAGAGGTAGCAATACTGCGGTCATGACGAGGGCCAGCGAAGGGAAGAGACTTGGATTCCAAAGTATAACGTACGAAGATCCAGCCAAAGATGCCCATCCACTGTGTCACACAAAGCCACCTTCTAGGTACCTTCTCACTTCAAACTATCCCCTTAAGGAAAACAGGGTATTTTACTCAACAGAAGAGGAACACGGAAGTATGCAAGAATCTACTAGATGTGGGTGAGAAGCTGGACAGAAATTCCTACACCATGGCGGACAGCCGGACTTCCCTCCTCTTCCACTTTAGACTGGATCTCGGCATGACCCGGGTTCAGCTGTTTAGGTCTGGTTTCAGATGAGGCCACCGAGCAGAGAGCAGATCACACCAAGCCAACCATCTGGTCAATCTGTCGCATGTAGATGCTCTTTAAGGGCAGAGAGAATCTCCTCTCTTCAGGGACACGATTGCACTAGAGGAAAATATGCGGGGAAATGTGAACTTTGAATTATAAACCTATGTGGTAATTCCTCAGGAAATATGGTTCAGTGACCTAATTGGGTTTCTCAGCCTGGGCACTGCTGACATTTTGGGGCTCGTCCTGAGCATTGTGGGATGGTTAGAAGCACCCTGGCCTCTTCCACTAGATGTCCCCAGCCACCTCTCAGCTGGGACAACCAACATTGTTGCCAGATGGCACCCAATGTCCCTGGAGCAGCAAAAGCGCCCTGAGTTGAGGACCCTGGGTGTCCTCACTTCACAACTGAAGAAAGGGGACCCAGGGAGGCTGAGTCATTCACCCAAGTGCCGAGTGGCCAGGACTAAAAGCTGCATGCACTGTGTCCTTAATCCACCCTGTATTTCAGAAAACATTTCAGCTGTTTGAAAACACTAGTTTTTCTGAGTTTATGGTTCTTCTCAACCACAGCTAAAACCTAGATGCTTAAGAGTGTCATCTTTTTTTTAATTGTGGTTGTTTGCTTGTTTGTTTTAATGAAAGGGTGTTTTTTACCCCTCAAAGAAGATGCTGGTTTGAAAACCAAACATGTTATCTGGAAGTAGTTTCCACATACATTCATCACACACTCTTGACCAAAGAAATGTTTTCCCACTGCTCTGCACTTGAACTCCCTACACCTGCTCCTCACCCTGGCAAGATCAAGACTGACGGTCCCGTTTGGTCCCAGCCACTCCCCCGTCATGCATTTGTAGGTGCTGTCCTTCTGCCTCAACATCCCTTCCTGGGAAGCTCCTCCCCATCCTTCAAGGACCTGTAAAAAGTAACCTCCTCAGTGCAGCCCTCCTGATTTTCCCTGGCAGATTAGCTCCTCCCTCCTCTATAGAGTGTTTCAATAGTCCCTCATTCAGGCCCCTACTGACAAATCCTAGGGAGGAACTGGTCTTCCCTGGAGGCCATGAGCCTCTCCAGAATCAGGGCCCCTCTGGAGGGCCTGCATCCCCAGGGCCTGGCACACAGCATTAGGCCTGTTAGATGAGTGTCTCCTTCCAGTCCAAATCCTGGCTCCACTTCATGACCACAACCTCTCTCTGCCTCCCTTTCTTTGTCTGTAAAATGGGGGTATCAAAAGCACTTACCCCTCAACAGGCTGTTGTGAGGAGTGATCACACATAGCATTTAGAACACGGTCTGGCATATGTAAATGTTGGCTATTATTATTATTTCTCCCTCTAACTCTCCTTTCCTTTCCTTCTCAATTGTGACTCGTTCACTTAACCTACACTCCATAGCCTAGTGGAAATTTGGGAGGCTTATCTCTGCTTTGGCCTGTCTACTGAGTTCCTGGACTGATGGTAAAGATCAATGGGACACTAGCGAGAAGTACTAAAGCACAGCGGGATGACAGAGCACCCCCAACTGGGGCAGTTTGGGGATAGGTGGTGGGGATCTTGACAACAGGCTTTTTCTGACAGGAGAGATGACATTCAAAGCATGAGATGATCGTTTGATATTTCAACTAATGAGGGTTCATTTCCCCATCCTCAACTCCAAACCACTACTTTTGATTCAAATCAATACAACTACCTGGGACCTCTCCTAGAGACTCACAGAATTGTTTCCGTATCTTTCCCACTGCTTATGGGGATAATCTATCCCTGCTTAGTGAAGCCCTGCTTTAAATGAAACTGGGGACTTAGGTACCCTGAAGAGCAGCATCATTATAAATCATGACTGATGATAGTTTCTGTCCCTCTCCAGCTGCCGGATGATTCTGACAATCTCCTGGGATGTAGGGAGTTATAAGAAGTACATATTCGGTCATTCATATGACCGAATATGTATTTCCCAGATTATGTTTGGTCTTCATCCACAGTTTCTGAAAACACTGTGGAGTCTTAAAGGTGAAACTGGTGTTTTGTCACGTTAATGAGACTTCTGTACCCCCAGCCAATGGCACGGGCTGGAGGTTGAATCAGCCAATGGCCAATAATTCAGTCAATAGTGACTGTGCCACGAAGCCCTCACGAAACCCACGCAGAGCTTGCTCGCTCTCTGTGCGCTGCTCTCCTGGATCCTGCTTCTCGGTCGGGGAGAGCTTCTATGCTTGGGAACCAAAACATGCCCATGGGTCACGGAGCCAGGCCCCAAGCTCCATGAGGACAGAAGCTCTTTGTTTGGGACCTTGCCCAATGCATCTCTTCATCTGGCTGTTAATGTGTATCCTTTACAGTATCCTTTATCAAACTAGTAAACATTAAGTGTTTTCCTGAGTTTTGTGAGCTGCTCTGGCAAATTAATCAAACCTAAGCAGGAGATCATGGGAACCTCCAATCCACAGCCAGCAGGTCACCATAGGTAACTGGCTGGGGCTTGCTACTGGCATCTGGAGTGGGGGGTGGAGGGCAGTCTCATAGGACGGACCCCTTAACCTAAGAATCTGTTGCTGTCTCTGGGTAAATAGCATCAGAATTGAGTTGTTCTCCAACAACCTGCTGGTGTTCAAGAATTGCTTGGTGTAAATATGTGTGGGAAGACCCCCTGTCACATCTTACACATTGCAATTGGGTTCTGGTACCTGAATGAAGTTACACTACTATTACTGCTGTATAATATTGTTAACTGTTATACATATATGTGGGGAAAAAATACACCATTGCATTTAGTGTTGGATGAGCGGGAATTGCACCTCATTTGCCCTTCCACCCTTTTCCACCCTGCTCTGGCCCTAGGGGCCAACCTGACAGATTGCATCAATAGACTCCCTTGCTCTCTGGCTTCTGGTGGGCACAGCCAACACACAAACCAGAAGGAAGGAGGAGGGTCAAGGGTTTCCTCTGCTGGCTCCCTTCCTGCAAGGCCTCTGATGCCAGGTCAGAACGCACGCGCACACACACACACACACAGACACCCCCCCCCTCTCTGATGCCAGGTCAGAGCGCGCGCACACACACACACACACACACACACACACACACACACACCTCTCTCCATCCAGGTTCCCTTGTGCTGCTGCTCCCGTGGTTTCCCTACACCCTGACAGCACCTACATAAGTAGCTCTTCTCCCATGACCCATTCTGTGTGCCATTCCTCTCCTGCCAGAACTCTGGATGACAAAGGCATTAATAGCAGTTTCTCTTCTTCCACATGCAAACCATTCCTTGGAAAAGCAACTTACGTTCGAGCTGGAATTGATGACTTTTAACTCGTGAGATTTGGGCCTGTGCACAGACTTTCCCTCTTGGTCCTGCCCTTCCTCTTCAGAAAAGAATTCCTTCCAAGGCGATTCCCGGAGATGTTTGTCCACAGATACAATGTGTCCCTCGGTTGTAAACATGTATTTGGTTCCAGATTTGTGTACTGGATTCTCCTCATCAAACAGCTAGTGGGGAGAAAGAAAGAAAAAAGATACAACTGGTAATTGTAGCGTGTTGGAACTGGGCACAGGGCTGTATCCCAGACTACTCCAGGAGCAGAATTACCTTGGTCCTCAGGCTTTTCAGCGACAAATCAGTAAAAAAGTGGTTCCCAACTCTGGCTACACAGCAGAATCACCAGTTTTGTTTAAACTCAGATGCCTAAACTTCCCTCAGTGCAGTCCACCCTGCCTAAACCTAGAGGTTCAGAAATCACAGAGCTTACCCCCAAATTTGGGAAGTGTGTAAAAGCTCACTAGATGACCTCCATAAGCTCCCCTGGGAGTTCCTGTGCTAGAATTCTAGAACTATACCCTCCACATAAACACACACACCCAGGCCCTAAATGGTAAAATGCTGGGGAAGAGGCCCATGTTTTATCCTTCACCACAGAGCCTGACAGAGATGCCAACACCCAGTTCACTCCTGTGTCAGAACACAGGGCACACAAGGCAGTCTTTTCCTTCAATAGTGGGCATGGTGGGGTGAAAATGGGAGCAGTGGAAACATCCGGAAAGAACAGCTAACTGAACAGGTGACAGGTCTGTTTGGCAGGAAGCAGGTGCTCAGCAAATGTTAAATGAGTGAACACTTACTAAACAGAAACCTCAGAGACAGAAGAAACCTGACAGTCCCCTCAAGTATTTTACAGCTAAGGGAAAAAGAGGCTCAACCCAGCTTGTCTGTGTTCACACCCTAATGGGAGATGAACAGGGTAAGACCTAGGTCTTCTCTCCCAGACCCTGACTTCTTTCCCCAACTACATCCTGGGGGTGGGGTCGGGGGGAGGTATCCTCCATTCACTCCAGAACTCACCCCATGAATATCACAGACACCAATGGCTGCCCAACGGGATCGCACCCAAGCTCTGGTGGGCCTGCGCGGTCCAGCCGACCCCCAGTGTGCCCTTGGCTCCACTGAGACCTGGCAGCAGGACGACTGCCCGCCCACCTACCAGTTGGACTGTGTGGCCTGCAAGAACATGCGCCTCTGCAGTCTTCTGTGAAAACTAACGCCAGAAGCACAAGTGTCATCTTAAAGGGACAGCTGGTACTTCCAAAACCGCTGTGTGCAGAATCACAAGCCCCTTGTCAAAATTAGACTTCTGAGCCCACTTCTGAGGATTCTGACTCAACAGAACCCTAATTTTAACAGGGGCCCCAGTGAGGATTGAGCACCAGCTGGCCCTGGGGCTTAGGCCCCTGAACTAGGTCACACGACCTGTATCTCTACGGCTGCCTAGCTTTCCTTCTCAGCCCAAGTTCTCAGTCTCTACTGCTTCCCCCGCAGGAAATCCTGACCCTCTGTGCCTTGAGAAAGTGTCCTTAGGTATACAGCCCCCCTGAGTACAGTGGGAGAGTGTAGGAGAGCAGCTATGTCTCTGGTGCATGTGGCAGAATAAATACGGGGGAAAAAAATGCCAGACAAGGAATCAGGACTGGGATTCAGGCCTCAGTCTGCCACACGGTGGCCCTGAGAACCGAGGCACGTCGCCTGAGCCCTCTATGTAGACTGCAGTTCCCATAAGGGAAGAAAAAAACACTGACTAATGATCCCTAAGGTTCCTTTTAGGTCCCACACTTCTGCACCTACATGAGAATGTGTATAAGCACAGAGAGCCAGCTGGGTGGTGGGTCTCAGTCAAGATCGTACCATCTAGAGAGGTAAGAGCTACAGACACTGCTCTCTTCCTCAGAGAACGCATCCCTGACCATCGCAACTCGTGTGGGTAGGCTTTCAACTGTCAGTGGCACTTCACATGATTTGTATTCCTAAGCTCATTTCCTCTGGGAGGTCAGAAACCATGGTGGAAGACAGCGACACCCTTTTGTTTGGATAATGCTGTGCCCCTAGGCCAGCACAATGTCCAGCATGGAGCATGGCCGCTAAAGAGAGGGAAGACTGACTGCCTGCCTGCTTCAAGCAGAGCTAGACATTTCGTGGGTTAACCTCACAACACACCTACCAGATACAAGTATTTACAGGTCTCACTGAGGAAGAAGCTCTCCATCCGGTCCTCTTTGGATTTGTCTACGACGTGATGTAGCGTAGCATACCCACACCTGCAAAACACCTCACAGTCAGTCCCATCTCTGCTCCTGCCCACCTGATTAACTTAAGAAGCAGGCATCTACTAACAGAATACTCAACCACATTATCAAACACCATACAAGAAGCAATTATCTTAGGCTTAAGGGCCATACTTTTTTTAGCCTAGATTGCCTGCAAATTCATTTACACAGTGCTCTGGCTGCTGCATCATCAGGTTAGTCATACAGGAAAACGGGATGGGTGCAGTGGAGACTATCTGACCAAAACATGACACCAAGAAAATGACTAGCAACAAATTAAGAAGGAGTGATTTAAATTTTTGTCCCACTATTTATAGAATTGACTTATCATCTGGATAATCTGAACCAGTATTTTGTAAGACAATACTTATGATATACTGCCTGGTGGAAAAAGTGGGTCACAAAACTGAAATAATAGTTTTATATATATATATATATATATATACACACACACACACACATATATACACACATTTGATATATATAAATATATAAAAAAATTGTAAGTGTATATATTTATATGCTAACTGTGGTTCTCTCTGCACATAGAGATTACAATGATAAGAATATTCTACCTCTCTATTTTCTGTATATTCCTTAAACTTTATAGTGCACATATTAGGTATAAAACTAGGGGACATAAGTTATTTCAAAAGGACACACATAGTCTACTGGAGCCTTATGGAAAGAAAAGATGAAAAAATAAAAGGCAACGCCCACTACAAAGGTTCTACTATACAAAACATGAGCAATTTCCCCAGAACTTATGCAAATACAAAAAATTAACATTAATATCCTATTCTATAAGTTAAAATGCAAAATAGAATTTCCCCAGAACTCAAAATAAATCAAAAGTGGCCAAGAGAAAATGAAAGGAACTTGGAAAACTAACTTGACTTTTGTGTACTTTTCCAGACTCTGCAGGATATCCATTCCTACATGGAGGTAGAAGGGATTCTTGGTTGCCTAGAGAGAACATGAAAGAATGTGATCCAGCAAGGCCTGCACACATGCCATCAACAAACACCGGTGAGTTTCCCAAGGAAATGGGGTGCTGGCCAAAGGCACGGGGCCTGATTCAATTTACCTTGAAGGTCACAAACATTAAAGGACTAAGATGCCCTGTTGGTTCGCATCACCTACAATCTGTCTAACTTGAACCAAGATAGAGATTATCTGCTCTGGGCACAACAATGCCCTGCTTTGGCCCTCCTGATCCCCATCATGGTCACAGATGAAATAAGGCCTCACTGACACTATATCTGAGGACAGATCCAGTTTCTATCTTGCCTTAGAACTCTCCAGAAACTTAAGATGCAGGCAACGGGCAACAGGATTTTGTCCCCATTTGCCATCCAGCACTGGCAGGAAAGGTCGATGGGAAAAGTATCTTAAAAAGGTCACCACACCTCCCTTCCTACATGTCCAAACAATGGGGTCCATGGGTGGCTCACTCTGCTGTCACATGCTCTTAGATGGTTTCAGTAGGAAAAAAAAATTCTCTGGGAAGATGAGACTTTTACCCCACAGTTTAAAAGTTGGGGATCATCTTTAGTTCATACCGAGCACCAACTGGCTGCAGCAAATGCTAACTACTACAAGATTAGCTGCTCTGGATAAGACAACATAGTGAGAGGCTGCAGAAGGCAAAGCTGGAAGCTGAAGACTCTCTGGATTCTGAGAAAACAGTCAATGTGAAGAAGCAGCTAAAAAGATGAAAGAAGCAGTAAAAGACGAAGAGATACAAACCCAAAGACAAGAGATCAAGACATACAGGGTGATGTACCTCAGCACCAGGCATGTACCTCAGAGCGGTTATGGCCTGACACTACACTGAGTTCAGAGAAGCAAAACCAAAGGGTATCTCCTCTCTCTTCTGAGAGGTCATCTAAAACTCCCAAGGTCTCTCTACACATCAGGACTATTATGAGTTTCATAGGATTTCTCCCTTTTTCACCTAGAAACAAATGGCAATGAATTTTTCTTTTTAAATAAATCTAAGCAACAGTATTAATCTTACTAGCAGAGCTCATGAAAAGCTAGGATATCCCTGCAGGGGACTTGCCCCTGCAGGAGCTTGGTACAGGCCTCCTGAAGTGCACTGAGGGCCAGCTTCCTGGAAGGGGAGCACCATGTCCTGATGCCTTTGGGAGTAGATGGACATGCAGTGTGGTAGGTGCAGGGCACACGCAGAAGAATAAACATCTGCCTTCAACTACGGGGGTGGAGACTTTTCAGTTAAAGTGACATTGCCTCTGGCATTAAAATGATTTCACAAAAGAGCACCACATGTTTTTTAAGCATTCAGAAACAGGCATTCAGATGAATCCCAGATGACTTCCTTTACAACCAAGAAAAAGAACGTTTTGTCTGAATAATCATTACATAGACCATGGTACATGAGTACAGAATTGCACCCCAAAAAGAGAGTTCTTTGAACAAATCAATTTGTCTCCCTCTTGACAGTTTAAGGGCGTGCGAAGTAATAGTCCTATAGGAAAGACCCAACTCAGCTTTGCAGAATGTTAGGTTAAAAAAACGTGACTGCAGACACCTCCTCTGTCCTATGGAAACAGGAATGACATTGCATAGGTGGGAAGTCTATCAGTCACTGTGAAACAGCACAGTGCTACACCATTCAGCAAATGTTTGCTAAGAATCAACTGCTACGGGTCCTCTTAAAATTTAAACACAAACTACTGTTGAACAAACTCCAGTACCTGGTAGAGGAGATATGTAGATTCAACTAACTCTGGTCTCAGCGGGTAGAAGAACACATCGGGGGCCTGTAGCTGCCAGTTGTACCTCTCAGGGAGGGCCCCATACCGTTTCCATATGGCATAGTAAAAGGCATGGAGGCAGATGGCATCTTCCACATCTCCTCTCAGAACCTATGGAGAAGACACAAGTCACCAAGCTAAAAAATTTTTCTCAGAGTGGCAAGACATGGCACAGAGGCCCTGGGCTCTGCCTCTAACCCCAGCCCACAAACACAGTTAGAGACAAAACCAACCCAGAAGTAGCAACCAGGACAAACAGACACCCTCGCCATCTGGCCATCAATGCCAAATTGACGTGAACTGCCTAGGACCATAGGTTAACTTTACTCAAGAACAAAGAATAGACAACTGAGAGATGGACCATCCAAAAATCACACATGCTTACTTTCCAAGCATGGACTGATTTGCCCTTATTTAGCATGGCCCTGTTCAATAGTCTGGAGACTTCACAACCAGAATAATCGAGACATATTGTGCTATTAACCTCCCAAATCCGAAGGCGCCAGAGAATGCTCTGGTATCACAGAGAGAAAAGTGAGAGAAAAGCCCTTTGCTGTGACTGCCTTTGTTAGCCGACGTGATCCCAAAATACCTGCAGTCCAGGGAAGAAGGCCTGCAGAGAGTCAATCCACGTGTTCATCAGCTGCCCACTGAACATGTTCACATTGACATAGAGGGGGGGGTCTCCTTCTCCTTCATTACAGGCTTCCCGACTGAGGACCCAAGCAGAGCAGTCAGAGGTGAAGAGGAAGACCGCCGGCACACAGGGCCCCAGCTCTACCCCGCAGCAGCCCCTGGTAGTCTGATTTCAGCTGAATTGACACTGCCTCTTCTAACCTGTGCTTTAAACCTTTGGAGACAGACCGCCTCTGCCTGTTGATACTAGACTCTAGCAGAGAGAACACCTACCAAGGAGTAAAAGTTCCAAACTCAGCCATTGGAACATACCAGGATTTCACTCTGTTTTAGAAAAAGCACTTTGACGGGTTTAGGAATGCAGCAGCATCACCTGGCACTTGGCAAGGGGTCTACATGGGTGTGACCTGAGTGGGAAGCTTGGTTCTTTCTCCACAAAGAATCTCTTCTCTGATAAGATCCTACACTGGGGGCCTAGAAGGAGGCATCAGAGCAGGACGCTGAGGATGACCACTCCATTTAGTTTCGGGCTTTAAAAAGCAAAAATAACAACTGTGGCCCAGCAGCATTTTACTAAAACACAGCACTCACACAAGAGGTTCCTGAACAGCTAAGGTGGAAACAGGTCCAAGAAAACCCTAAAGGCAGGAAACTCAGTAGCCCTCACTTGCAAATGGCCATTTAATACACAAAAGTACACAAAGAAAGACCTAGAGAAGAGAGAGGTGACACCAGGGTAGAAGCCACTATAGCTTTAGATGGCACTTCTCTCCTGTCATCCTGAATGCACAACTGAGAGGCAGCAAATAATGCTGTTTTAAAGAAACATGGAAAAAATGTGGTAACTCTCCTTTCTCTCATCAGGTATAAAGACCAATCTTAATAATTACTTGTAAAGTAAAAGAACCGAAGTAACTCAATAATGGCCCTGCATCACAGCTCTACCTGTAATGAAATCCAGTTAAACAGGGATACACCACTCCCCTGGCAGCCAGTCTCCCAGAATGTCCCACACTGACTCTGCCTCCTGCAGTCACACCCTATCAGGGCTGGTCTGCATGACTGACAGTCAGTAGAAGCACTGGTCTGTCACTCCAAGATCAGGTCATGAAAGCATGTGGCTTCCATTTTGGTGTCTGTTTCTCTCTCTCTCTCTCTCTCTGTTTCTCTCTCTCTCTCTCTGTTTCTCTCTCTCTCTCTCTCTCTCTCTCTCACTGTCTCTCTCTCTCTCACTGTCTCTCTCTCTCTCTCTCTCTCTCTCTTTCTCTCTCTCCCCCGGATCACTCACCCCAGGGGAAGCCAGCTGCCGTGAGCTGCCTACAAAGAGGCCCTGAGGCAAGGATCCGAGACCTCCAGCCAACAGCCAGTGAGGAACTGTGAAGCCTGCCAAGCACGACGGGAGTGAGCCTGCAGGTGGTTCCCCCGGCCCCAGACAGGCCCTGATACAGCTCTGACCCCCACCAATTGTTTGATGACAGCTTCAGGAGGCCCAGGATGAGCCCCACTGCTCTTGGCTTCCCGACCCTCAGCAACCATGAGATAATGTTTGCTATTGTAAACCACTGAGTTTTGGGGTAATTCGTTATGCAGCAGTAGATAGCTAATACACCTCTTTACCCTCAAATGATGGACCAGCAACCAAGAAGTGGTAGGGTGAGGGTAGAAACAACAGACACTATGGATTTATGCTGAGGAAAATATGAACACTTCAGAATGCCATCTATTTGCTTAACAGGGCAATACAAGCGATGTTAAGGGGACATACCCTCTTCTTAAGTAGTTCTGAATACTGTGATATGCAGCATTAAACATTTCTAGGTCTTCTTTTTCTCCGAAGAGAATGTAAGATTTCAAGAGGTATTCATAGAAGGAGTCCAGTCCAGCACCCAGGCCGCTCTGCTTTCCAACCCAATGGCCAGTCTGAATGTTCACAACATTGCCTGTGAAAACAAAGTATGTCAGGTCCCACTTAGCTCGGGCCGGAAGAGGAGGGTGAGACCGGCCTCGTACTTGGCCCCACAGCTCTTCAGCACCTTTGACACTGGTTGGGGGGAGAGGAATGAACGCTTGACCCTCATCTTTTCATCCTATCAGTTGCATGGACAGCCAGGAGGTCTTTCTGAACATGCGGTTTTTAACCACTGACAAAAAGATGGGGAAAACATTTAGTGCAGAAGAAAAAAAAGACTCGTCATTTCTCTTTTCCAGATTGATGATGCATTCCAAAAGCCAAGAGAGTGCTCAGAGCTTCTGACTCGGTACTGCCAGTCCTGAGAATTTATCCTTAAAAAAAAAAAGCAAGTTTTTAAGAGAAAGTATTATTATGTCATTCATCAGAGAATTATGAATTATATAATTTAAATTATCTGTAAAATGGGGAGGGGAAAAAGATGAAACAGCAATAATCCAAGTATACAACATCAAGTGTTAAATGGACAATCATGTAGATTTTGAAGACGGCTTTGAAAACAAGGTAACACCTGAAAGACTTGCCAAGCATAAGGCAGAATAAAAATGTTTCTTTACATTATAATTTGAAAGCATATAAAAGTTGCATATGCCAGGCTGAATGGGCTTCTGGAAAATTTAGAAGGTGATGATTTGGGGCAACACTGGTCAACCATTTGGTGATGGAGTGACAGTTTGGGCACCTTTTTCATTTCTACTGTTGTTAAATACAACAAATTTGTAAATAAATTTAAGAACTTAAGGAACAGTCAAAAACCACGTTCAAAAAGCAGTGCTTTTGCAATGATACCCTATGGCTCCAGGACAACCTATCAAGTTACTTCCCAGGGACAAAAAGAAAAATTTCTCAATGCAAGACAGTTACATGAGGTAAAAACCTACATTAAAATAGCATCTTGAGTTACCAAAATACTGGTAATTACTGAAGATTAATGATGAGTACATAAATGAAGGGGTTATTAGTCATTATACTTTATCCCTACTCTGTATGTTCGAAAATTTTTCAGTAATTCTTTTAATAACATCCAACCAAACATTCTCAAGAGGAGAAAAAAACGCACCTAACAGGTTTAATCTGGGCTTTCAACCTACCCCCACCGGCCGGATTCTCTAAAAGGAGAAGGCTGCTCTAGCAGTGACTCTGACTTCCTATATTTAGAGCCTTAGACTGAAGCAATATAATGTCTCAGAGGCAGTTCTTTTTATAGCATTCTACAGCACTTCGTTATAACAATTATTTTCAAGTGGAATATGCCAAAGGGATTCAAATCAGAAGGGAACCTTCAAAGAGCAAAGCATTACTCTTTCCCATCAATCCTTATAGCTTCCCCCGTGGCAAAAAGCCACATAGTGACACTGGATACCACAGGCACTGAGGACCATTCCTCCTGAGCTGACAATGTGCAGATGCAACGGTACAAGAAAGTAGGAGTGGAGAAGAACAAGAGCCCCAGAGACAAGGAAAGGAGGGGGCCAAAGGTATGCAGCCCAATGGCCTGAGAAGTGCCACCACACCTAATAATCCCGTGTCATTGCTCCGGAGGTTCCAAAGGGCTTTCACCGCTCGCCTGGCCACCCACTCAAACGTAGAATCCCCCAGCAGTCGGCTGAGAATCCCAAATTCCACCAGGAGGGAGCCAGCTCCTGCCGTGCATGTCTCATTATTGCTGTCAAGGGGAACACCAGTCTTCAGATTCACCTGAGGACAGGACGAGACAAAGGATCTGTGTCAACATTCAGGGAGCCTGCAGGGCTAGAAGGCCACATCACAGCTATTCCATTCAACAAATGAGCCACGCTTACTGCAGTATGACTCAGCTCACCACCTCCCACTTACTCATCCCAGATGAATATGGGAGTTAAGTACAAAGACACAAACAACACACTAAGAATACTAGAGGCTTGTTTTACTAATAAGTACAGGTCTTAAGGGAATCATTAAAACACCATTCACTAATCCACCTCTTTCCAGCAGCTTCTCTTTGTGGTTACATAGCACCAGACTTTGACCTTAGAGACAAAGGCAAGCTATGGAATCATTCATACATTATAGGTGAGCTTCTATGAACTCACTCCTGCTCAGTGAACATAAAAAAATCTCAGACTGGGAGAAGAGACACAGTGACAATGTGACAGCCTGTTCATCACTGAGGCTCTGTGGTCTGGCAATTCGCTGCTGGTCACCTGAAAGGCTGAGAATTCTCAGAGGAGTTCTGGGTTCAGCAAATCAGGTACCACAAAGGTATAATCTCACTCCAGATCCTGCACTGATATCAGCAGCTAACATGTTGATCTGTGCAGGCTTTATTTGAAAGATCCACATGAAGCATTCCAAAAAACATTCACTGAGCTCTATATACAACACAGGAGGGTCTGTGGGGAAATGGACTCAAGTCAGAAGTGAAGACCAATTTCCCCTGCTGTTGTGTAGCAGGGGATATAAATCCCAGATGCAAAATGACTTAAGAACACTGAGCACAGGAACGTGAATTCCTTATGGGGAAGGATTAGGTCAAATATGTCATTGTATGCCTGGCACACAGTAGGTGCTCAGTAACTGCTCAATAAATTAAAATACATTTATATCATTTTTAGGGCCAAATTCTATCAAGGACATGGCTTTCCTCTTCCATCTCAGTCCCACTCCTTCCCTGAACAAATTAACAACAGTTTGATTCAGGAGGATGAGGAACTGTCAAACCAGTCTACCTACCCGAGGATAGGGGATCCCTGTCTTGGTGTTTTCAAAGGCAGGGAGGAGCCGCACAGCCAGGTCATGAGCCATGTGCAACAATTCATTATCGTAATCCTTAATTGTCATGTCACCAAAGGGCTGCTTGGAGTCAGTTATTATTCTGTGGGCAGAAAGGAGGCTTCCCAGGACTCTAATGACAGGAAGAACAAAGAAAATAATAAAATCATGACGATTGTACTTGCATACAGTCTAGTTCAGAGTGACAGAAGCAGCCTCGAATTCCCTATGGACTCAGAGCTGCCTGGAATCAGAGATGGACTCCATGGCTTGTTGAAGCTCCATCTAGCCCTAATAATAAATGATCAATTCTCAGTTAACCACATCACTGAAAGGGAAAAAGAGAACCGTTCCTCTAGGGCCACTGAGAAAAATACCACTTAAAAGTGGTAACTAATGTCTGCTAACTGGAACCATCATATCGGCAGGGAGCGCACCAGTCATTCCCAGAACAGTATCACCTTTTAGCATTAATAATTTACGCTTGCTATCTCTCACTTGGGAAAACTCTTAGCTGTACAAGATGTAGGGCAAGACAACACATATCAAGTGACTTTTGTGGTTCTGGCTGCCAAACGATTGATGAAATTTTCCAACTTCTGGATGACCTCCTCATGGGTAAGAGGTCACCAGCTTAGATTACATCCCTGAAGAGACATGAATTCATGTTCCCTCCAATGACCTGAAGTGCACTGTGACATTTTTCAGAACAAATGCTGTCATCACTTTGATTTTAAATAAACGTTACATCTGGAATGCTATGCAGTAAATTTTCAAAAAGTTTAAATGAGATAGGAAAATAGTCACCATATACCAAGCTAAAACACAAGATATAAAACTGGGTAAGGACCATGAGCCCAATTAAGAGGGAGAGGAAAGGAGGGGGGGAAGGATAAAAATCAGAGAGAGACACACATAAGAAGAAATACACCCAAATGATAAGTAAGCAGTGGTCTTCTGTTGGTGGTAAGTGAGATAAGAAATTTCATTTTCTTCAGAAATACATGGGGGTGGGGGGTTTCCTACGACACAGTGAACAAAGGAAATCAAGCAATCCAATGAAAATTTTCATTATAAGAACACCTATCTTAGACCTTCATTAAAGCATCAGTGTGTCTTTCTGTTTAGTCCAAAATATAATTTGAGAATGTCAGTAGTTCCAGTTTTGCTAAATCCCCAAACAAAGGTGAAAAACGGATGGGCACATGCCCACACTGTCTACACACACAGCCCACCTGCACCTCACAGCTGGTGGACCCTCCCAGCAACTTTTCTCCTCACACACGCAAAAGAAGCCTTCAATCCGTTTCATGAACTCTTTTACCTTATTGTGGCCTCAAAGACTTGGACGGTGGAATCTTTGTCAAATGAAACTGTGTTGATCACTAACTTGACTGCTTTCTGGAACTCGGATGAATTTCCCATTATCTTTAAAAAGAGGAACACAAACCATTATGACACCTTGAAGTGAAACTAAGAGACGACATGGTGGCAGGAGCTGGGCCGCTTCAACTCCATGTCTCTGCGCTGTTTGGTCCCCCGTGGGAGAGCCAACACTGAAGGCAGAAGAGCACACTCGGGAGCAGATGGCTCGCCCATTTCCTCCAACTCAACAATCCTATCTCCAAATGGCAAAACTGTAAAAATAATTCCTCATAAAAACCATCAGCGTCCCTCATCTTCCCACTCCACTCTCAAACTTCAGACTGATCTTATTGACAGCCACAGCAGTAGAGTTCCTAAAATTCCTGAAACGAGTAAAAATAAATACAAAAACTGAAGCAAGAATACGATGACTTCCCTTCTGCTCCTGAAATAAACTGACAGCTTGGGTGCTTGGCTTGCAGGCAACCAAAACATCTGGAAAACTTAACTTGTTGCTTATCATCCAGATGTCTGGACATTTTGAGAAACAGTAGTAGTATCTTTGGGGACACAGCATAAAAGCAGTGACATTCAAAAGAAAACATATAAACAGTGAGCTCCGTGTCCTTTTTAAAAAGTCATCTAGAATTACAATTCCTATTTTGGGTTCCATGGATATGATATCATACCAAGCTGCTCTCTCCTAGATGAAGTGCAAATTGGGCATAAAATTTTGCAGATTAACCTGAACCGAAGTGCTGTCATTCTGTTCCAAGTCTTTTGACAATTCTGAGACTACAATGACCTCATAAGGACAGACACAGAAAAGCAAGGAAAAACAAGTAATTTCCTTCAGACACCTCTTCACTCAAGTATGTCTTACTTCCTAATAGTATTGGCCTAGTGCATCCTTCTTTTCTCGTTCCTCTTTGTTTATTTTGCTGTAACAGGTCACAGCGAGTACAGACGTTTCTTGCCTGGCTTCCAGGTCTTTCTTTCTAAAAGATGATGCAATAACGCTGCAAGCTGCATCCAGTGGTCAGAGGATTGCTATCTTCTGAGTGTTTCCACAGCACATCTGTTGGAGCCTGTTTAAAATGTTAGCAGAAGAAAAGGAAAACCTCAACCGAAGTAACACCTGAAAAGTAAGCCTGAAGTGCTAACACCTTGAAAACCGCATACTCTACGAGGAAAACCACAGGGATGTGTTCATTCCCTTACAGATGTTCACCAGCAACAGTGTCTGTTAGCAGATGCTGAGAGGCTCTCCGATCAAGTGGAGGCAAGGTTGTAATTTACCATTTTAGTCAGAGACAGAACAGGGTAACCAAGCTAGGGAATCATTCACTCAGGCTCAAGACAAAAAAAGCAGGATTGGGCAGAAGACTTAACCAGGTTTCTTTACTTCAGGACTCTTCAGAGCCTTTAAAATGCTGGTCAGCACTCTCCAAGAGTGGGACAGACACACAGACTTTCTCAAGTTCATTTGGGAACACAGTTCTTCTTCTAGGGAGTATATCCCTGGAATCTGTGATGGGAAATGCTGGATTAGCAGAAATCCATCATGTGAACACATGTATCAGACACTGAGATGTGGAGGGACTACGGTAAGTAACAGAGATGAGGTCTCTGTATTTCATGAGCATGGCCAGGGGATAAAAAGACACAGAAGAGCAAAAAGAGACCATTCAGAGAGAAGAGGTGGGCTCTCCTAGGCTCACTTAGCAGCTCACTTGTCAGCTGAGTCGGCCTCTGGTATCTTTGACAAGATAACTCTAATTAGGTTGGAACATACTTGTATGGGCACATTGTTGATTGGTGATAATGGTGACTGAAGTGGGCAGCAATAATTTCAGAAAGAGTGACTGGGAAACTAAATTTCTTCGCAATCACAGCCTTACAGAATGGTATCCAGATTTCCGACAGGCCCATGGGTCTCCAAGAATGGAGAATGATTTCCCAAGTTCTTTCCAAGTTCTGTTAATTCTGTTACTAGCAAAAGACTGGAGAGTTGTCAGTAAGAATTTTCTAATGGTAAAGAATTTCCTAAGTTTTCTGATTTTCTAATAAGAACACCTATCTTAGACCTTCATTAAAGCATCAGTGTGTCTTTCTGTTTAGTCCAAAATATAATTTGAGAATGTCAGTAGTTCCAGTTTTGCTAAATCCCCAAACAAAGGTGAAAAACGGATGGGCACACGCCCACACTGTCTACACACACAGCCCACCTGCACCTCACAGCTGGTGGACCCTCCCAGCAACTTTTCTCCTCACACACGCAAAAGAAGCCTTCAATCCGTTTCATGAACTCTTTTACCTTATTGTGGCCTCAAAGACTTGGACGGTGGAATCTTTGTCAAATGAAACTGTGTTGATCACTAACTTGACTGCTTTCTGGAACTCGGATGAATTTCCCATTATCTTTAAAAAGAGGAACACAAACCATTATGACACCTTGAAGTGAAACTAAGAGACGACATGGTGGCAGGAGCTGGGCCGCTTCAACTCCATGTCTCTGCGCTGTTTGGTCCCCCGTGGGAGAGCCAACACTGAAGGCAGAAGAGCACACTCGGGAGCAGATGGCTCGCCCATTTCCTCCAACTCAACAATCCTATCTCCAAATGGCAAAACTGTAAAAATAATTCCTCATAAAAACCATCAGCGTCCCTCATCTTCCCACTCCACTCTCAAACTTCAGACTGATCTTATTGACAGCCACAGCAGTAGAGTTCCTAAAATTCCTGAAACGAGTAAAAATAAATACAAAAACTGAAGCAAGAATACGATGACTTCCCTTCTGCTCCTGAAATAAACTGACAGCTTGGGTGCTTGGCTTGCAGGCAACCAAAACATCTGGAAAACTTAACTTGTTGCTTATCATCCAGATGTCTGGACATTTTGAGAAACAGTAGTAGTATCTTTGGGGACACAGCATAAAAGCAGTGACATTCAAAAGAAAACATATAAACAGTGAGCTCCGTGTCCTTTTTAAAAAGTCATCTAGAATTACAATTCCTATTTTGGGTTCCATGGATATGATATCATACCAAGCTGCTCTCTCCTAGATGAAGTGCAAATTGGGCATAAAATTTTGCAGATTAACCTGAACCGAAGTGCTGTCATTCTGTTCCAAGTCTTTTGACAATTCTGAGACTACAATGACCTCATAAGGACAAACACAGAAAAGCAAGGAAAAACAAGTAATTTCCTTCAGACACCTCTTCACTCAAGTATGTCTTACTTCCTAATAGTATTGGCCTAGTGCATCCTTCTTTTCTCGTTCCTCTTTGTTTATTTTGCTGTAACAGGTCACAGCGAGTACAGACGTTTCTTGCCTGGCTTCCAGGTCTTTCTTTCTAAAAGATGATGCAATAACGCTGCAAGCTGCATCCAGTGGTCAGAGGATTGCTATCTTCTGAGTGTTTCCACAGCACATCTGTTGGAGCCTGTTTAAAATGTTAGCAGAAGAAAAGGAAAACCTCAACCGAAGTAACACCTGAAAAGTAAGCCTGAAGTGCTAACACCTTGAAAACCGCATACTCTACGAGGAAAACCACAGGGATGTGTTCATTCCCTTACAGATGTTCACCAGCAACAGTGTCTGTTAGCAGATGCTGAGAGGCTCTCCGATCAAGTGGAGGCAAGGTTGTAATTTACCATTTTAGTCAGAGACAGAACAGGGTAACCAAGCTAGGGAATCATTCACTCAGGCTCAAGACAAAAAAAGCAGGATTGGGCAGAAGACTTAACCAGGTTTCTTTACTTCAGGACTCTTCAGAGCCTTTAAAATGCTGGTCAGCACTCTCCAAGAGTGGGACAGACACACAGACTTTCTCAAGTTCATTTGGGAACACAGTTCTTCTTCTAGGGAGTATATCCCTGGAATCTGTGATGGGAAATGCTGGATTAGCAGAAATCCATCATGTGAACACATGTATCAGACACTGAGATGTGCAGGGACTACGGTAAGTAACAGAGATGAGGTCTCTGTATTTCATGAGCATGGCCAGGGGATAAAAAGACACAGAAGAGCAAAAAGAGACCGTTCAGAGAGAAGAGGTGGGCTCTCCTAGGCTCACTTAGCAGCTCACTTGTCAGCTGAGTCGGCCTCTGGTATCTTTGACAAGATAACTCTAATTAGGTTGGAACATACTTGTATGGGCACATTGTTGATTGGTGATAATGGTGACTGAAGTGGGCAGCAATAATTTCAGAAAGAGTGACTAGGAAACTAAATTTCTTCGCAATCACAGCCTTACAGAATGGTATCCAGATTTCCGACAGGCCCATGGGTCTCCAAGAATGGAGAATGATTTCCCAAGTTCTTTCCAAGTTCTGTTAATTCTGTTACTAGCAAAAGACTGGAGAGTTGTCAGTAAGAATTTTCTAATGGTAAAGAATTTCCTAAGTTTTCTGATTTTCTAATGAAGGGCAGCCAAGAACTTGGAAGACCTCCCTGATTCAGGAGATTTTAAATGCTATGCTGGGATATGGTCCCTTGGGAGCCACATCCTCTGGCAAAAGCTCATGCAGCAGACCAAGCACACACCTGCAGTTAAGGGCGGCACCACACTCACACCCTGCTGCTGTCACTGCCCTTCGGCGTGTCTGCTCACAGGCCCGCAGCTCCCCAAAGTCCATGACACAAAGGCAGCACCTGAGCCGGCAGCCCACACGTGGATAGGGACTGTCCACAAACCCGGAGTAGCAAATAAAAGAGGAGTGTCTAGAGAGAAGGTCTCTGCACAGGGGCTGCGGCCAGAGCTCAGACACATTCCTGGGGGGCCAGTAACTGGATGACATTCCAGAGGGCTTACTGAACCTGACGTCTTGTCCTTCTGACATCTTAATTACAGTAACTGTAAACTTTAATAGGACACTCCACTGAGTCCTTTATGGAATAAAACAGTGGGAAACTGGGGGGGAAAGAGATTCCCCCAAAACAACCAGAGTTGGTTCTCTGTATTTTTAGGTGAATTCATTTCCCCTCCTTTAGCCTTCAATGCTTTGCTTGCTCTCCACTCTACGGTCATTAAAATCAACAAGAGCTACCATAGCTATGAATATATTTTGAATACTGAGCTTCCTGGAATTCCCATCCCCGGGGGGAAACTAGGGGTGATCAACTACAAAGATTCTAATTATAAAGAATAACAATCAGGCTCAACACTTACTGCAAGTGTATCCAGTGCATCAACAAGCGTCAAGGAGTAATTCCCTAGGACATCGTTGATGTTCAGATTGGAACTGAAAAAGAAAGAAAATTAAAACGGAACAAAGATATTGTATTTTAAAAGAGAAAAGAAGAAAGACAACACCCATCAGAAACTGAAATTGCTGGCAACCCTTTTTACTCAGGGACTCAGAGGGGTGGGTCGGTATGACAAAGGTCTTTCTGTCTCACCAGTAACAGTTTCCAGGGTGTCTATAAGTAGCATCAGGTCACAGAGCAGCAGATGCACACTTAGGCTATGGTGAAAAGGAACCACAACAGGAAGTCAGGGGACAGTAAATAAGAGCCAACTGCCCTGCAGTACAGTTTTATCACCAGAAATGATCTCTCTGTCCCGCTTCAAAAAAGCCCTGATTGTGAAATCATTAGAAATGAAAGAGGAGAGGCCCCATCATGTGACCTACCCATAATACTTCAACGCGAAGTCTGACTCTCTGGCAGATTACACGCAAACAGAAGCAAATAACGTCGGTTACAATCTCAATACCACTCATCTGTCCTCTGAGTGGGGGAATAAGTTTTCTTTATACCATTTTCTCAGTAACATGTTACTCCCAGAATCTCCATCACCTCCACCAATTCTGAAAAGTTATCTTCTAACATGAACACAGGCAGGACTTCTCTTAACCGGCGCTGCATAAATGTTTCTGCTACACACTGTCTGCCCCCAAAATCAACACCAACTTCCCATTCTGAAATCCTCGGAAGACACCAACTTGAGGACCTCAGTGAGGGCGAGCATCCTCTGCCACTGACAGCTCCGTATAACACTAAACCCCATGATAACGAACACATTGGGGAAAGGCAGGGGTGGAGAAAAATGGTGGAAGTAATGAAACACAGCTTGACAAATTCTGGAGAGTTCACTTAGTCCTCCGTCCCATTCCCACAAGCCCAGAAAGTACCTGTGGAAGCTTGAAAAGAAGAAAGTGAGGAGAGAAATATGACTGTTTAAAGATTATGAAAGACCAGAGTGAGAAAGCCCTAGTGTTATCTTCAGCAACAGGCTCACCGATGCTGTGACATTTTCCATCACATCCCCAGACCTCTCCTTGGGTCACTCTTAAGAGGTCCTTGCCTCCCTTCCCTATGGGCAGCGACTCCTGGGTTCCTGAAGACCTCGGCACCCTCTTAACAACCTCCTGGGAGCCTCACTTAGCTGGGGTAAAAAGGGCCTTCTGTAAGAAGGCACACCAGCTTCAACCTGTCCCATCTGATCTTATTTGAGCCTTCCGCTTACTTTGCTTTATGCTGTGGCATGCCACTTAATCCAGGACACAGAATTACAGCAAACTTGTAGATACATTTTTTAAAACAAGCTGTATCAGCGGGGCTATCTAGGAACCACAGCTATCTCTTCTCTCACAAGCCACGAGGCCAGCACACGAGATGGTGGAAAAACTGCACCTACTTCTTTTTGTTGATTCTTTCCAAATAAATTTATGTAACTGCAAAAGGTCCTCCAAACATGAGCGCTGTCGGTTTACATAAGCACTTCACGGGCAGTGCCAGCCAGGAAGAATATAGGAAATGTCGAAAGTTGGAGGAGGTCAAAGTAGATCCTTGTGCTCAGTTGTGCCAACTAAAGAATATTCTGTTGGGCTTAAACATTTAACTGCACTGCTCTGCTGCTCAGGAATAAAGACTGGGTCCCAGTGACCCACCTCATCAGAAAACGGGTTCCCTCATCAGGTAGCATCCAAGCTGGACAGTAAGTAACCCACAGGTAACTACCCTCTCCTGAGTTCACCTACTGCCCTCTGCCACCCTCTCCGCCTGCACAGACCTGTGGAAGGTATTCTTACCTTTCATCACCACACTCCCCCTGTGTTATTGTGCATTTCCTTTTTGGCTCTAATGAAACCTGACCTGACTTTAAACTACTTCTCAATGTAAGGCCCAAGCAGTCACTAGCAATGAACAATTGTAAGAGTTGCCAAGGTAAAAAAGAATGTATTTGCAAAAGTTGTGGGGGTTCATTCTCTCCACTCAGACAAATCCACTCAAAGATCTACAGTGTTCACTGAAACACATTTGATTCTTTTCTACCAAATAATTGCTATATACTCTGAAAATGTGCCAAAGTAGAGAAAAGGAAAACGGAGGGGGAAATGAAGGAGACTATGGATTTGTTCTTTGTAGAGAGCCATCATCCATGGCCAGCCTGCCTTGAAACCTTCTAAGAACCTCAAGCCAAGAACTCAGTCTTCCAGGACAAGGCTAGGCTTAAAAATGCACATCTTTCCCCATAACCAGCAGGCTGAACTGTCATGACCCAAAATTAAACTCCCCACTTATTTGCCACCTGTGACTATAATGACACTCACCCCACTGTGAACCTTTAATGTTCTTAATCCCAAAACAGAGAAGATGGAGACAACTGGTAGATTTTTTATTATGAGGCTAACAAATTCAAAGGTGTAAAAAAAAAAAAGAATTGCCACATACACTTAACCTGGAACAGCTATTCAGAAATCTACCTGGTGCTGGGTAGGCACAGAGATAATGTAAGAAACAGTCCCTGTGTTGAAGAGATTGATAATCTGGGGAGACAAGACAAAGGAAAAGGAAGATGGATACACAACAGTACTCCATTCCCAAACGATGTTAGAATGTGGGCCAGCAGCTCAAAGGACAACAACCAAACAGAGAACTGAGTAAATCACGGAAAATCACCCTCAAACAGTTCCACGGCAGCCCAGAAAAAGACCTGAGTCTGTGTCTGAAGGAAGACAGGATTTTAGAAGGGAAGAGGAATGCAGAGGCAGCTGTTGTAAGCTAGGGGTGCCTAGGAATGAATCGGTGTGGGGGCCAGTATTTGTTTGATTTGTTAATTTGAGAATGGCATTTCTGTTTGACTAGTAATATGGTTGGGTAGGAAGCAAAGGGTCATGTGCCCAAGGCCTGATCTACTGTTATATTATCCACAAGGTCACAAAAATAAAATATTCAAGTTTACTTCAGAAATTTTTGAATTTAGATCCTACCATCCAAACTGAGGATGTGAGAAAACTAGTAACTTTGCATGGTGATCTGTAGCTGAACAGAAAGAGTTGCCATTTTTAAACTGTTCGGGTTTTATTTACTTCATATTAGCTCCTCACCCCACTTCCAGTCAAACATGACAGGCAAGATAAGCCTCAAGTCAATGTGACTGAAAAGATAGACATGTTTAGCACCTATATTTTGTTGCTGTATTTTTTTACATAATATTCTAATGGCTACATCACTGTATTTTTTAAACAAAGCATGAGAACACACTTGAAGACAATCATTAGAATACATTTTGATTAAAAAAACAAAAATTTTTATTATGGATTATCTAATTGGGGGATGTAAATGTGCACTGTTGTTTGAGAGTCAAAATGACAAAGCTCTGGTTCTAAACTTTCCTTGAAAATATTAAAGTCTGAGAGCAGTTGAGTTAAAGGAAGAGGAGTAAAAAAATTAACCTTTCCACTTTTTGGAAGTGATCAGTGTGAGGGTCCACTCAAGGCCACCATAACCCCAGGGTTCTTTCAACTTCTCCAAGACTCCAGGCTTTACCAACCAAAGGGTTTATTAACCCCTGGGTACAACCCTTCCCAAATGCTAACCCCTCAATATTTCTAACTCCAAGAGCTTTCAAAGGTGTTTGCTTTCCAAAAGCAACAAAGCTGTCTTAAAGCAACCTGGCGTCAACTTACCCAGACTGTCACTGTACCATCAAACCAAAACACTCATCAGCTGAGTCATCCTAAAACCGGCCTGTGCCACCTGGTACTACCACAGGGACCAGTGAACTAATTAACTGCCACCTCAACTTACTGGAAAGGGGCTCCACCTCTCCAGAGGGTTCTTAAGATTCATTAAGAAAAGCATTGAAATGTCATCACCTCACTCTCCAGACCATCTCTCCAGACCATCATATTCCCCACCGAAAGTGTTATTACAAGTGCCTCGTTAAGGTGTTTCCCTCAGTCAGTGCACACCACAAGGAAAAAGTCAGTGAGAGAGAATAAGGAAGGGCACTTACTGAAAGTGCCTTCTTGTAATACCGCGAGCAGCAGTGAGAAAAGACAACTGAGATCCAAAATATGAACACACATTTTGATGTCAACTATGTAAAACTGTGTAGGCATATGGGCAGGAGCTGATAGGAAAGAGAAAAATACCTAGTGTGATTTTAGGCTTTTTTTTTTTAATATATTTTCTCCAGAAAAAGAAAAAATTGAAAGAAAACACATAGGTATAAAGTTTAGTTAAGAGAAACAATTCAGTGACTTCGTACAACTCCAGGAAGACCAGTAATTACTTCTCAAAGTTTAATAAAATCAAGTCCCTTTAGTGTATGGGCTTCCTTTTAAGAACCTAAGAATTAGACTCTGCCGCTTTTCATCAGGTGAAGGAAAATACATGCTCCAAACATCCTAGGCACCCGGAGGGTGTGCTGCCAAGGCACCCAACCACCCAGCCCCTCCACTCCCTCCTGTGGGGAGGGTTCCAGAGGAAGTTAGTCACCTACCTGGCCTACAAGGGTCAGTGACAAAGCATACCCCTTCCCTCCAGCTGAGAGGTCCTTCGCTGCATGTGCTGGCCTCTTGGACCCTGATGTCAACAGCAGTGACCCCTGAAGCTCAGCCTCAGCAAACAAGGCAGGTGCAAGGGGAGAACAGGCCAACCTTCCCGACAGCCCTGCCACTAGAGTGAGGGAATTGATGGGGCAGACGGTACAGGGCAACGACGTCGACAGCCAATTCAGCAGCCAAGTATGAGCACCTCAAATCTGGGCCAGGCAGCCTCTGCCCCTCCCACCTAACTATCCTCAGCCTAAGAAGCAGCTTCTGATGAAAGAGAAACAACTACTCAAACTCATTGAATGGCTTTAGAGAAATCCTGTCCCAGGATCAAGTCCTCAGTACTCATATTTGTATTTTTATATAGAAAGGCGGAGAGAGGAGGGCCTTCTTTCTGAAGCTGCGTTTACAAGGAATTTAATTTTGATGATGTGTTCCTCTGGATGGGGAGCTAGGCAAGGGAGTCTAAAGCCCCTCAAGCCCCCCTTGGCCCTGCCACTTTCCCTTTCAGTCTCCAGCCTCAGTTTCCCCATCTGTAAAGAGACTGCGCTGGGCAGCTGTGCTGTGTAGTTCAGAGATGCCTGGAGAATCAAGAAAGATGACAGCCACCAGCCCATTCACGCAGCCCCACCCTGTGGGACCTCAAAGCGGCTCGGCCAAGGCACCGGGCGGGCGCTGCCCCGGAACGCTAACGTCCTGACATCCCCTGGGTGGCCCGGAGGTCAGAGGGCTGCGCTCCGGCCGGGTGGACGTAAGGGAGCGCGGGGAGGCCGGGGGCACGCGGCCCCGGGAGTCGGGTCGGCGCCGGCTACTCACGGGTTCCCGAGGTCCGGCCCTCGGCCGCGGCAGTGAATGGGGTTGAGCTCATCCTGGGGAAAAGCGTGCGCCATGTAGTTGTCGTAGCCGAAGACGAACATGCCCCGTGCCAGGTCGCGCATCTGGGCGCGCAGCTGCTGCGGGAAGGCGCCGCTGTAGCGTTTCTCGTACTCGTCCGGGCCGCGGCCCCGGCCGCCCAGCACATAGCCCCAGTGGGCCGGGCCGCACACGCCCGGCCCCGGCCGCCGCGGAGCCTGGCGCCGACCCGCCGCCGCCGCCTCGGAGCCCGGCACCTGCAGCCACGACAGCCCCGACGGCCCCCCGGGCCGGCCCTCGGGCCCCGAGGCGGGAGACGCGGGACCGTCGGGGACCCTCAGGCGCTGGAAGCCGAAGCTGAGCGGAAAACGCTGGTAGAAGCCCATGCTGGGCCCCAGCCCGAAGACGAGCCACAGCACCGCGTGGAGGCCCAGCCGGAGGAGAACCAGCCCCAGGACGAGCGCTCGCCATTGCATGGTAGCGCGGGCGCCGCGGGCATTATTTTAAAGCGCGGGGATCTCCCCCGCCGACCGCCGCACCCCGCGTCCGCCGGGTAGCTCCGCTCACTTCTCCTTTAAGGAACTCCCCCGTGACGCACCAGGAACTGGCCCATTGCTCCCACCCCCAGGTTTCAGGGCTCGGCGGGCCAGGCCTCGCGTTCGCCCGCCCAGTCACCCGGGATAGGTACAGCCCCGGCCCAGCCTCAAGAGACGCGGCCGGGAACTCTCCCCCGCGCCTTAGGCGGCCCGGACTTCCGCAGATCCACGAGGCCCCGCCCCTGCGTCCAGCCCCGCCCCCCGGGCTGTCGGAGTCCGAGAGGGCTGGCGTGGCGAGCGAGGGCCGCTCGTCTCCGGGCGAGGGAACTTCCAGCCAATGGGAGCGCGGCACGGGAGCGCCTGCCGGACGCCGGACAAAAGTGGCCTCCCGCCCGCGGGGCTTTGGGTAGGTAGAGCGTGTCTCCGGCCGGATGGGACCTGAGAAAGTCACTCCAGCTCTAGGTGAGAGGTGGTGACCGTTAAAGGACGCAAGAGGAGGGAACGGGATGTTTCTGTGTGAAAGGAGCTACTTTTGCACAGCACGGGCAGGGTTTTATAAGTTATGGTGGGGATGAGATACTACCTTTAGCTCGAGGCCTCACAAAACGGTATCCTGAATTCTGCTCTTTTTAGTGTGACACCCTAATCTATAAAATGCGTACGGTGATTGTGATACACATTCCAGATCCTGTACTAGGTCTAGAGAACTCAGTGGGTGATTCTGAGAATCTGGGTTCAGCGGTGCTCTCTGGAGATTTAGCATCTGTCAAGGGAAATAATGATAAGGTTATATTGACTTTGTCTCGGAAATAGGATCTTTAAAAAGTGGGGGTGGAGAATGGAGCTGTCAAGGCTGACACTAAAAAGGGGGCTTATTTTTACTTGTTTAACCATATTCTCTCCTGCCCGTCTCTTAGCATCTCTCCTGGGCACCGCAGGAGCGACTTGGTCTTTAAGTATGGGATGGATTCCTGGTCACATCACTAGCCCTCCGTATCTACTTCCTATAATTAAGAAGTTTGCAAACAGCAGCTCTGAAAGGATGGGTTTATGTAGTGATTCAACAGTTTAGAGCTTTTCTTTTTGCTGAATTTGGAAATGCCTACTAAGGCTTGCCCTCCGTAAACTTAGACCATGTGCCTATTACACTGAGGTACCTGAAAAACTTGGAAAGCAAGACTTGCTGGATGGCCTGAATCAGAGATAGGATCAGAGAATGACCACTGGAGTGATTAAGAGGATGATGAAGTTGTCATGCGGCACTTTCATCACATTTCAGGATCAGGAGACTTTTTACAAAAGCCGTGTAAGGGACCCTGAGAAGGAACCCAAAGAAACACTGGATTATGGCACACGGTGGCTGGCCCATAATAAGGCCCTTTTTGTTAGCTGAGCCTTATTCCTCCACCAAATCCTGAGAGAGGCCTACCCACACATTACGAGTATAAAGAGAATTTGAGCTAGGCATCTTTTGCCTACACCGATTTTTCTCTCCTCTGTGGAAGGCACCTGGGGACCCTGCAGCAAGTTCAACCTCAGTACTTGGTCCTGAACATTCATCTTTGTCTTCCCAGAATATGCAACCTGAATGTGAATATTAAGGTTTGTGCTGTATGTTTCCTTCTTCCTAAGCTATTTTATTACAAAATTTTAACTTAAAAGTTTTTAAATCTCATCTCACGCCATTGATGAGAGCTCCTATCCTCACAGTAGAAACAAGCTCTAATAAAAACAAATCTTTTTTCATAAGTAGAGAAAACCATCCCATTTCTGAAAGATGTTTTTCATGGTAAAACTGACAACAGCTGTCAGTCATATATGTCTTCTGGTTTTCAAAACTTTTCATGTGTTCCTTTTAAGCTTCACAGAAAACCTTTTTTTTAAGGTTTAAGGTCTATTCCACAAGACATAAGGGAGAAACCAGTTAGGGGCTCAGCTTCTCTGAGCTAGTTGGCTCTAGAAAGAAAAAGCTATTGCCCAGGTCTTCCACACTTTAGTTCTGGGAAATACACTAAACTAGCTGGCCCTCAAAGGGTTCTTTAAAGAAGGGTTCTTCTACTCTTCCCAAGCCAGACCTCAGGCAACAATGTTAACATTAGACCCTGCAAGCCACAGTCTAACATTTAATGGCCAGGTTCAGAAAGTGTTTTTCTCAAATTAAATTGAACCAAAAGAAAATGGAGTATCTTGTGCTAGCCCTATAGATTAAATTAGGACTACTCTCAAGGTAAATGTGGATGGTAAGAATGAGACAACCACCATATCTAATCAGAAAATCCCAGCCTTAAAACTCTTCAAGAAACTTTATTTTGTGACAGGTATTTCTGTACCTGACCTCACAGGAGCATTAGAGACTGATAAAAAAAGGACACTGAAATGCACTATGGTAAAAATGGCCTTACTCCGGGTGGGCGCCAAAGAGGTGGCAGTAAGAACCCAGACTTACAAGTCCATTTGCCAGCTGTTCAAGTTGTAGCTCTAGCCTCCGAGTGACGCTGGGAAGTTAATGTAACTTTTCTGGACCTGCTTTCTTGTCTATACAATGAGGATGATAAGAACAGTACTTATATATGGCAGTTTTAAGAATTATTTAATGTATACAGTATACCTACAGTAGTGCTACATATAGTAACCCCTATCATTACTACTCATCAACTATGTGAACTTTTAAAGACCAGCATCTAATAAAAGTACGTGGTACATATAAACCAGGTACTTTTTAACCTGGTTGGATAAATTTAACCGTTGGATAAATTAAACTAAGCCTATTTTCAAAGCACTATTTTAGGAGAAAAATTTGTCTAAGGAAACTAGTATAAAATACGACAAGGTCTAAAACTCTCAACAGTTCAAGAAATGCTTAAAAAGCTTTAACTCCTCAAGTCTAATTCCAGTTCTATTTAACTCAACCTGTTCAGCTTCTACACATCTTGGGCCTAAATCCCTATGATTTGGGGTTATATCCCATAACGTGATCCAAATCCAATCTCCCTCTTCCTTTGATAATTGAAGGTGGTGACCTGGCCAACCAATGTATTTCTGTGCCTTGAAAGATACCCTCCATGGTAAATAAGGTGGACATACTAGTTTTCAGAATCAGTCTTGTCAGTCTGAGTGAATCAATGCATTAAGTTCCTAAACCTGTAAAAGCAAAAGAAAGTTCTGGCCCTTTAATGACCTCAAAGGGTAGTCTCAGAGCTTCCTATGTTAAACATCAGAGTTAAAACAGTCTATTAAAAAGAGGGATTTTTCTACTCTAAGAAGTTATAAATTATTATCAAAAGCAATAATGTAAAAAAATCAAATGGTATAATGATGACTTTAAAAACTGATCATTGCTTCTTTCTGAAGTAATACATACTTGCTTTATAAAGAAGTGGAGGAAAAATTTAAGAAAAAAAAAGTAGTGGGGAGGGAGTCACCTATAATCCCATTATTCATTTGGTGAAGATCCAACTCCAGAACTAAGGTTAATAGTTTCCTCAGCTCAGTAAGAAAAGTAAAATTTCACATTTGGTTTTAAAATTAAATGTTATATAATTACCATACCCACCTGATGGGCAGCAATCCAAGTTTATCAACACACTCTGTTGGCAAGACACATGGGTCAGAGACTGGTAGAATTAAAGACTGGCACATCCCTGTGAAGGGCAATTTAGCAATTTCTAGTATAAATACAAAAGCATTTACCCTTTGACCCAGATGTGCATCTGGGAGTGGCTGCATGTCTACATGATGATTCACTGCAGTATTGTTTATAAAAGAAAGAGATTATAAACCTAAATATCTATCAACAGGGGACCAGTTAAAGTGGAAACCCTACACAGTGAAAGCCACATATACAATGAAACAGGAACCAAGCTGCTGCGAAAAATGAGGAACTCTACATATTGACATGGAAAAATCACGAGGAAAATCAGTATGCTACCTTCTATGTAAGGGATTTAAAAAAAAAAGAGGGTATATAGTTCTATTTGCTTTTTGTATTTTGCATAAAGAAAACACTGAAAAGATCCGTAAGAACCTGTTAACAGGTAAGGCCAGGATGGTGGTGGAGAGGTGGTTACTCAGTTATGGGTGGGATTAAGCGTTCAAGTCTTTTTATGTATTTTCAATTTTTGAATCATGTGACTCACCTACTAAAAATCAACTTATTCAAAAAATGATAGGAACTTAGGAAAAACATGGTGAGCTTCCTTTCCCACCTCTTCTAACTACTAAACCATTAAATCAAATACAGCAGCTATCCATCAAAAACTGGTATTCATCATCTATGTGCCATGCCCCAGCTCTCAGGTTCTTAATGTTTCCAAAGAAAGCAGGAATTACATAAAGTCTTAACCCTTCTTTGAAGGGGCAGAGCTAGTGCTTTCATAAATTAGGTAGTAATACTACTAATGATCAATAATAGCAATTACCTTCCTTATAGAATGATACAAATAGTAAAAGGAGTTACCTAATTTATATGTGTAACAATAGATAGAATGTGGACTCTCTTAAAATGTGGAAACAAGATAGCACATTGTGTGAAACAGACTTTACAAAACTGAGGAGAGGCCAAAGCTGTAGATTACATAGAAGCTGCATGGAGGAGATACTGTAATTAGCAATCCGTTAATGTTCTACTTCCCATGTTCAAAAGGGAACACATTGGTTTTGCTGGGTTTCCCCCTCATTACTTTGAAAGGAAGTATTTTTTAATTGCTCCTGGTTTCTTCAGGCTCCAGATGAATTATAGTAGGACCCCGCAACACAGCAGTTATAAAGTGTTAAACATAAGCTCTGAATCATGTGCCCCAAACAGGTAGAAGGTATAATCAACAGGGGACCAGTTAAAGTGGAAACCCTACACAGTGAAAGCCACATATACAATGAAACAGGAACCAAGCTGCTGCGAAAAATGAGGAACTCTACATATTGACATGGAAAAATCACGAGGAAAATCAGTATGCTACCTTCTATGTAAGGGATTTAAAAAAAAAAGAGGGTATATAGTTCTATTTGCTTTTTGTATTTTGCATAAAGAAAACACTGAAAAGATCCGTAAGAACCTGTTAACAGGTAAGGCCAGGATGGTGGTGGAGAGGTGGTTACTCAGTTATGGGTGGGATTAAGCGTTCAAGTCTTTTTATGTATTTTCAATTTTTGAATCATGTGACTCACCTACTAAAAATCAACTTATTCAAAAAATGATAGGAACTTAGGAAAAACATGGTGAGCTTCCTTTCCCACCTCTTCTAACTACTAAACCATTAAATCAAATACAGCAGCTATCCATCAAAAACTGGTATTCATCATCCATGTGCCATGCCCCAGCTCTCAGGTTCTTAATGTTTCCAAAGAAAGCAGGAATTACATAAAGTCTTAACCCTTCTTTGAAGGGGCAGAGCTAGTGCTTTCATAAATTAGGTAGTAATACTACTAATGATCAATAATAGCAATTACCTTCCTTATAGAATGATACAAATAGTAAAAGGAGTTACCTAATTTATATGTGTAACAATAGATAGAATGTGGACTCTCTTAAAATGTGGAAACAAGATAGCACATTGTGTGAAACAGACTTTACAAAACTGAGGAGAGGCCAAAGCTGTAGATTACATAGAAGCTGCATGGAGGAGATACTGTAATTAGCAATCCGTTAATGTTCTACTTCCCATGTTCAAAAGGGAACACATTGGTTTTGCTGGGTTTCCCCCTCATTACTTTGAAAGGAAGTATTTTTTAATTGCTCCTGGTTTCTTCAGGCTCCAGATGAATTATAGTAGGACCCCGCAACACAGCAGTTATAAAGTGTTAAACATAAGCTCTGAATCATGTGCCCCAAACAGGTAGAAGGTATGTATTTTTCCATACTGTATAGCAGAGCATACATTTTTCTGGAGTCTGGGAAAAATACTTTAAAATTTTTATATGGCTTTCAAAATATAAGCTTGTATTTAAAGGATTTCCTTCAAATAAACATGATTGTATCATTCTGTAAAATGTATATGATCTCCAGCCAATTATGTTACAATTGAAGGGATAAAATATTTCTGATTTGGGATTATCTTCAAGGAGAAGGAACATGCAACATTAACATATTCACTAGGACAAGTGGGCATTTTCATCTCCCTTTGATTTTTGTTTCACCTCTAGGCTGCTAGAGTCATAGCCTGTTGGTGAGAGAAATTATATTTGAAATCTTCTACTCTTCATTTTACAGATGGGAAAGCTAGAGCCAGAGGGGGTTCAGCAACTCACCCATCCCACAATGAGTTAACAGCAAAGAAAAGAACCCACTCTCAAAATGCCAATCCAGCACTCTTGATAGACCAAGCTACATTCACATTTTAAGCTAACAATCCTTTCCCTCCCATATCCTTTCCTCCTATAAATGTGAGACTGCAAGGCCCAGCAAACTGAAGCTGAAGTATCTTTCTCTCTTCTTGGTTCCTGCTAGTAAAAAGGAAATCTGCATTACCTAAGTCACCCTCTGCCTTAGGATTTTAAAATCACCTTACTGAAGAGGGGGCTTGCTAAGGAAATGGAACACTGTCTGACTACTTGCTGCTATTGCTTAGATTAAGAATTTCTCCTTGCAATCCATCTAGCAGGGCAACTATCTACTTCAGTTTCCTTAAAAGCAAGAGGCAACAATTACAAAAGTAACCCATTTTTATTAATAACTGAATGTTAAACAGCAGTTGTGTAGAGGCTATTCACTAATCAACAGGAAACACCTGCAGTGGGCTCACCCACTGGCAGAACTGCAAACTTAAGTGAAGTCGGCAAGGCTAGTTTGTTTTACTGTCTTCCTTTTGAAGTACCTTCACTTGCATACATGCTCTTGAGGGCACAACCTTTCAAGTTTATAACAAAATGAAAATATTTTCAAATACTAAACATGGTGGTTTCCCTGCAATGGCACATTTGTAGAATAAAGCATTTGGCTAATTGGGGGTGTTACAGTAATGGTGCCAAGATACAGTAAATTAAAATTTCCACTCCAGTTCCCAATCCAACAGACTCTGAAAGGTTGGAATTAGCAAATCAACAGTTTCAGTGTTACTGGATCCTACATGGATATAATGCACAAGGCAATTAGTTTCCCACTCAAAAACAATGAACACTAAAGTTAGCCATGGTCCAATACATCCAATTTACCTGACAGGATCAAAGGGACTAATTTTAGGAAGTCTCCACCCTGCCCCATGTCCACCTATACATCCACACACATGCTCCTTCTTCAAAAATTGTTTTGGTAGGAGGGTGGTAAGAAGAGAACCAAGTGGACTGCTTGACTAAATGGCTTCAACGATTCAACAAAATAACTTAAACCTAACATCCTAGGGAATTCTGTCCTAGAAAAGCTAAGTCTCACATCCAACAGGCCATCAAAGTTGGGCTATATAAAATGACAGTGTTGATACAGAGGAAAAACAAGTTGAATTCCTCTGAGTAAAAATATGTAAAATCATCTCTCCAATGTTCACTTTTATACTACAAAAGATACCATGCTAGCAAAACAGGCCAAGTGGGAAAAATGTGCCTTTGTGGGAACACCACCATGGTGGATATTTAAAATCTTTTCATTCAGGAACTGAAGTCATTAAGTAGGCATATCTTGATTTGTTTATTAGCAGAATTGTTATGATTCTGGATTATAAAATGCTTAGCTAGCTCTTGCCACTTTTAGAAATTCTAAATTTGGCATATCGTGACCATTTATAAATAGTAGCATCTTCTCCACCCACCACCCCCAAAAATCGCAGTACCAATTCTGTGGATGTTTTTAAAGTTGATTCCTATTTTAAACTAGCCCACAGACCCAGATCTTTGAAAGCTGAGATGATTTCTTTCTAGCACATGGTCTACAGACCCTGCTCATAGTAAATTTCTATCCCCTTTCAAAAAGACAACACCTTCTATCATGATGCACACTGTTAAGTTAAAATTGTCAATACAACCCTCAAAATGCAAGTTTATTGAATAAAGCTGAAAGAGGAGTAAACAGACAAAAAAAAAACTGCATCCACCTAAATTAAAAAATTCACGTATTTACAAAGTTCAGTAACTGTGAAGTTTTCACATGCAGAAGTTAATGCACAGGAAAATGTTGGTAGTCGTGTTTGGTTGTCCTGAATGCTGAAAGCAATGAACAGACACGCAAACACATTAAGGTTTAGCTATAGGTCATATTAGCGAAACTATGCGGTCCCCACATAGTCACACATTCTAGTTCCAATTCCTCCTTTTAGGCACAAACTCCACATTCTCTGTAATGGTTCACAGTGACCACTACGGGTGTTGGACTACAGTACCAGGTTTAAATATCCCTTCATTTACAGAACCATCCATCCCCCTCAGGGAAGTATGCAACATGCTTCAAAGAATAACAACAATTTTAAAAGCTGAGACTATACTCATAAAAACGTGAATGGAGAAAAACAAGTAGTGTCTGTGCAACACAGTGCAGTATTTTGTACAGAATATTGTTAAGGCCATGGCAGTCTATAAATTAAAATTGGTATTCATTAGAACTTACTGTTGATTGCACTTGGAGTGCTCAACACATTTGGAAATGCACTGTCTACAGGAGTGCTGCTTAACAAAAGAAATGATCACACACAGTGTGAGGCACACATAAGCAGGTATATACCAGAGAGTTTCATCTACTACTGTGGGTATGCACACAATAGCTCACAAGTGAACCAGTATCAGCGTGTCCCTTTATGTCTATGGAGATCATTAACCTACAGAACATGTTCACTTTAACTTTTTATACATCTCGGTATCACAGAAGCCAACAACGAACAGCATCAGTTCCACGGTTCTCTGTGTGATTATTAAACAACCTGCAGACATTGCGCATGATTACATCGGATAGAGCAGGCAGGTCTAGAGTTGTCACAATAATCGAGATGTCAGCTGGCATCAGGCAAAAGAGTGCCAAACTTACATCAGTAAGAGAAAAAATAAGAATTTTTATTTGTTTATAAGTATCTATTGTGCTGAAAGTCACCTTTATGACTGGATATAAAAAGTCAAGAGTTAGAGTGTCATGCAGCAGCACGGACTTAATGACTGGAGATAGAAAAAACAGGGGTTTGAACAAAATCTGACATTCTGAACACATTTTATTATATTGGCTGGAATGCTCTAAATTCATGAAAGCTTTTGAGAAAATCTTCAATTCCCAATCCCTTAAAAAAGTGTTGAACCTGAAAAAAAAAGAAGAAAAAATATAGAAGAAATGACCTGGACAGATAGAAAACAGCATGCCTTAGTTCCTCCCATACCCCCAACTGCCATCTGGTGATGAAGAATTATCAGAAAGCAGAATGTTTTTTAAATACATCACATTTGACCTCACCAGTGTAAAGAACCAATAACAACACTGATCTGGTGCCTCTGCTCACTCTTTGTGACCATTTTTTTAATTCCTAAGGTGTAATTATACATTTCACATGCATTTGTGAGATACATAAACATTATGTTTATATCCCACATGAGTCAGGCTAAAGGTTTTCTAAATACTGTGTGTGGCACTAGAAACTTCATGCTGTATCAAGTCAGTATCATATTAAGCTAATGGACTCTATAATGAAATATCATAGATAGACATTTACTGAAAACCAATACAAAAATCTGGCCCAGAAAGACCGGAACAGAAATACACTATTTTCTTGATTTAAGATGGTTAAAGTGTTTTGTTTTGTTTTTTTAAAAAAAAAAGCTCCACACACTAAGACAAGTATGTATAAGAAGCCTTTTTGTGTGCTGGCTTTATCATGACAACTCTAGCTGATTCTTTATGAAGGATTAGGGATACACATCTTCAGCAGTGCACATGAGAAAAAAACTCTGAAATTCAAAGGCAATTTCTTGGGTTTAGGAAGGACCGTATTCTGGGAAGTACTTCAGAGGATTGGACAATAAATCTAGGATTATAGCCAGGAAGGACTGGAAGACTTCAGGAGATGCTTCAGCTTCTTCTAGATTTTGAATGTTGAATAAGCCACTGAAGTGTGATATCTAAAGACAGAGAGGGGGAAAAAGTGAAGGCATTAGATACCCAAGTTCAAAAACTAGACAGAGATAATATTCAAAATGAGGCTATTTCAAAGCACATGCTGGGCCCTACTGTTCTCCATTACCTGAGCTTAGAGGGGATCATCTGAGGAATTATGAGACTGAAGAATCTCTATGTGTATAGAACAGTGTGTTCCATCTTTTATTCATTCAAAAGTTTACTGATTGCCTATAAACTGTATGTGAAGTGCCAAGAATGCAAACAAATGGGAGAATCCCTCGCTGCCCTCAAACAGCTTTTAGAAAACAGTCAGAAAACATACAAGTAGTCATTTGGGGTTAGGAACTGCCCCACAGAATTCCAGGCAAAAGAAAGAGCAAAAGCAAAAGAATAAACTGCAGCATGAAACAGTGGAGCTCAGAGGGATTTTACTTAGTAAGTGTGGCTGAAGCACGTGGGTGGGAAAAGGGGTCGCCACTCATTGCTGAGGTTAGAGCAGGGGTTTCTCAACTTCACCCTTTTGATATCTGGGGCAGGATAATTCTTTGCTGGGAAGAAGGGATGTTTGTGTATTCAGCAGAATATTTTGTGGTGTCCATGACCTTTACCACTAGATGCTATTATTACTGCCCACTCCCTACTCCATTCTCAGTTGTGACAACTGGTAATGTCTCCAGATGTTGCCATATGTCCCCTTGGGGGGCAAAACTATCCTCAATTGAGAACCACAGGGTTGGAAGGAGCCAGATAACCTTGTATATGCCATTCTAAGATGCTAAGAAGTTTGTATTTTATTCTCAAGTCAGTAAGAAGTTACTGGAGAATTTTAAGCAGAGAAATTATAATAGTTTATTTTAGTAAGTTCAACAGTGGCAATGGCGAAGGACAACTGGAGGGCTGCCAATATGGAAACTGACTGTCATAACAGGATAGGAATGGGATGAAGGCCTGAAGCAAACAAGTGCTGCAGGGATGCAGTCGGGTCAAATGAGGATGCTTACTACAGAGAGCTGACAGGACTGATTACAGTTAGTGAGAAAGACTTTCTGGCCTCAATGAGAGCTGAAGTTAGCCTGGAAAGGCACTTCAACTGACAAAGTAACCAAATCAAAACACTGAGTTACTGTCCTTGAGTTCTTTAAAATGTGTTTTACACATAAAGGGTATGTAACTATCTATTAGAAGCAGCACTCTGCCAAGCCTGACAGACAAGGGCAAATTCAGTCACCTAGTTTCCCAGCTAACATGCTTTAGAGAATCTATAAGCCACACACATATAAAGAATAGTCTAGCCTAGAACTGAGCCCTGAACAAACATGACCTGTTCAGAGTTGTGGGAACACTTTAACCCTACCGCTGAGGTGGGTCATATGCTTTTCAAAAGGAGGACAGCAGTGCATAATAAGAGCAAAGCCACATTTATTTGAACTGAATGGGGAAAAGATAAATCTGAAAGTGAAATGACTAGGTTTAAGTATTTAAGATGTTCACTAAAAAGAAGTAACAGAAAAAAAAACTTGTGGACACTGGAAAGAAGTCATATCATAAAGACAGATGGATCCTTAAAACCTGATACAAAGGCAGGAAAGAAGATACTCAGATAAGGAAGAGTCATCTTTCATGGCAAACAGGGCCACAAGTATGAGCCATCATTGCAAAGATCATCTTCCCCGAAGTAATCTGTTCTGTGTGGTTTGAGGACACATTACGTATACAACTAAGGTACTTCATGTACCACATTAGGACCCTGGAAGTGTAACTTACAACCCATGTGCACTGAAATACTTTTTGGAACAATTTAAAAAATTCATAAATTTGGTACTAAATGCATTACAAAAGCTGAAATTAGGGAGGGTGTTCTGACTTGATTACCCAAAAGAGTCTAATCTACTCAGCTATTAAGTTGCATTTCTTGCTCCAAATAAACATGCATTCTGATTTACAAACAACTCATTTTGAATCTAGTTAGAGTGGATCAGTTTTCTTGGGCTTGATAATACTGAGTAAACCGGTCCTATAGTCACAAACCTGGTGACTATGGAGCTCGACAACAGACTATGAAGATCGCTTTCAAACAGCAGAAGTTCTCACCAGCTCTCCGGCATTAATTCCTAAATAAGCTCACAAGATTTTTCCAGGAAAACATTTAGCTACTTTGTCATAGTAGTAAAACAAAGGATTTTCTTCCTCCCTTCAAAAACTTTTTCCCCCTATTTTAGGAAATAGAGATATATATAAGGGAGTAACAGACCTACAGTATACAGTACAATGTACTAAAAATCATGGCTAGTGTAGAACAGGGTTTCATCCTCACCACAACTGGACAATGCTTAACTGTGAGGGCTATAGGATTTTTAGAACATCCCTGGTCTCCATCCACTAGATGACAGCATCACCCTCCTCACTGTGACAACGAAAAACGTTTCTAGGCTTTGCCAAATCTCTCCTAGGGGGTAAAATCCTTCAGTGAGAACCATTGGTAAATACCCTCTTGGGGACACAATTTAAAATTTCCAAAACATACAGAGAAAAAAGTTTTTTTAATAAACTCTAAATAACCCCATAGTAGAACAAAAAGGCATCCTATAGTATGGGAGAATATATTCATAAACAAGGGGTTGACATCCAAAATATATAAAGAACTCACACGCCTCAACACCCAGAAAGCAAATAACCCAATTAAAACATGGGCAGAGGATCTGAACAGATACTTCTCCAGAGAAGGAATTCAGATAGCCAACAGGCACATGAAAAAATGCTCCACATCGCTAATTATCAGGGAAATGAAAATTAAAACCACAATGAGATATCACCTCACACCAGTTAGGATGGCCAACATCAAAAAGACAAGAACAACAAATGCGGGCAAGGATGCGGAGAAAGGGGAACCTTCCTACACTGTTGATGGGAATGTAAATTAGTTCAACCATTGTGGAAAGCAATACAGAGGTTCCTCAATAGAAATACCATTTGACCCAGGAATTCCACTCCTAAGAATTTACCCAAAGAAAACAAGATCCCAGATCCAAAAAGATATATGCACCCCTATGTTTATCATAGCACTATTTACAACAGTCAAGATAGGGAAGCAACCTAAGTGTCCATCAGTAGATGAATGGATAAAGAAGATGTGGTACATATACACAATGGAATGTTATTCAGCCATAAGAAGAAAACAAACCCTACCATTTGCAACAACATGGATGGAGCTAGAGAGTAGTATGCTCAGTGAAATAAGCCAGGTGGAGAAAGACAAGTACCAAATGATTTCCCTCATTTGTGGAGTATAACAACAAAGCATAACTGAAGGAACAAAACAGCAGCAGACTCACAGACTCCAAGAAGGAACTAGCAGTTACCAAAGGGGAGGGGTGGGGAAGGGTGGGTGGGAAGGGAGGGATAAGGGGATTGAGGAGCATTATGATTGGCACATATGGTGTAGGTGGGGTCATGGGGAAGATGGTGTGGTGGGGTCATGGGGAAGATGGTGTGACACAGAGAAGACAAGTAGTGACTCTGTGGCATCTTATTACACTGATGGACAGTGACTGTGATGGGGTGTTGGGGAGACTTGATAATATGGGTGAATGTAGTGACCACAATGGTGCTCATGTGAAACCTTTATAAGAGTGTATAAAAAATAAATAACTCTAACCCTAAGTGTTTGAATAATCTATTCTCAAATTAACTGAAAGCTCCCAATGTATCAAGTCACTAATTCTATTCATTTAATTTAAGAGGAGTGTTTGTGTCCATCAGTAAAGTATCAGGCTCAGATTGCTTTGGGTGGTCTTTAAAGGAAACCCCAAATCAACCAGAAGACTATCAATACTTTGACCACATCAGACCATATTTGAAGTAGGGTGGAGAAGGAACTGAGATGTGGAACTTGGAAAGAAAGTTAAGTACCCTGAGAACCAATACATATTGAATGACGACTAAAGAAAAAATAGTAGAATACTTTTTTAATGCAATATTTTGGCAGGATTTATTTATTACCTCTTATTCCAATACACTTTTTTTCTTTTTAATTGGAGATGTGACCATGGAAGAAGTGTCAGAGAGATATAATGTTTTTGGCTTTGAAGATGGAGGGAGGGGCCCTAAGCTAAAAATGCAACAGTCCTTAGAAGCCAAAAAGTACAAGGAAATGCATTCTCCCCTTGTCTCCAGAAGGAGCACAACCTGTAACTTTAGTCCTTGATTACAGTTCAGTGAGATCCATGACAGGCTTCTCACAGCAGAAGTAGAAAACTAATACAGCCGTTTGATGTCCACCATATGTCAAACACTGCAACCCATTTTTTCATTCCTTCTCACAGTAGAGTTTTGAAGCTGTTGCCATTATCCCCATTTTATAGATGATAAAACACTGGAGATCAGGGAAGTTAAGTGCTTTGTCCAAGGCCAACCAAAAGGTATCTTTGGACCAAGTGTTTCAGCCTGAGTTACCTGACTCCAAAGCCCACTTTGTTTCTAGTCCACTGTCAGCATTGATGGATCAGCCTCATTTTTCTATGACCCTCAGAAAATGGTCATAGAAAGTGTGGCCCAGGGAGATTTTTTTCACCAGTGACCACCAAACTGGAGGAAGTGAAGGAGCCATGAAAATCCCTAGGCATCTACCCATTTTTTTCAAAGCACATACATTCATTTAACTCTTCTTTCAAACTGGTGAGCGTATCATGCCACACAAGAACTGGGTGACTTAACTTGAGTAGCTTTAGTCATGAAGGTGTCCTTTAGTGTGAGAATGTTTTATTGCACTGTGATAGGTATTCTCACTTATGTAGCTGTCTACATGTTGAATGGCCTTTCATCCTGTCAAATGCTTCCATTCATCTTTTTTTGTTCTTTTACCTTTTGACTCTCTTCCCCATTCCAATATACTTTTATTAAATAATCCCTTACCATATTTAAGAGACTAAAGTTAAGCCAGACATTCTTTAGGGATACTGTACTGAATCCTTAGTGTCCCCCCAAAATTCACATCTACCCAGAACCTCAGGATTTTTTGGAAATAGAGTCTTTACAGATATAAAATGAGATCACAATGGATTAGGATAGGCCCTAATCCAATGACAAGTATCTCGGTCAGAGAGGACAGACACAAAGAGACACACACAGAGAAGGAGGCCATGTGAAGCTGGAGGCAGAAACTGGAGTGATGTATCTACAAGACAAGGAAAACCAAAGACTGCCTGCAACCAACACAAGCTAGGAAAGTCAAGGAAGGATCCACAGGAGCCTCAGAGAAAGCACAGCCCTGTTGACACCACGATTTGGGACTAATGGCCTTCTAAACTTAAGAGAATAAATTTCTGCTGTTTTAACCCACCCAGTTTGTTGTACTTTTCTATGGCAATCCTAGGAAATTAATACAGACATTAAGTAGATAATGGGTATTTTTGGCTTATACCTTCAAAAGAGTACTAACATACTGCAGTAATATATGGGTTCAATAATGAAAAATTGTTATACTGCCAATAAACCAAGTTTTGTAAAGTCTTATTTCAGAAACGTCATTTTGTCATAAAGCACAGCTGGATATGAGCTCTGCAAAAATTAATACAATAAATTGGTATCACTTAATGCTTAACTTTATGTCTTTACTGCATTTACTTCTTTAAATAGCAGAGGGTAGAATTCAGGGTATTATAGTTACTGTCAAAAAGAATAAGATCTATTCTTTTTCCTGAAGCAAAAGCAACAGTAGTCTGTAAAGGAAGTAACTTACATAGAAATGGGGATAATACACAGTAGGAAGCATTAAACATCCCTGCCAAATATACACAGTTCTTCCAAAAACAACCAGTCAGTTCTTACCTATATTATCCTTTTCTTTGCAAGAAATTGAATAGCAGCAAATTTCTCTATCCTGAATAGCAGACAGATTCCTACAGGAAGCAGAATTAAGAGAGTAAGTCTGTGCTTAAAACAATTGTCGTATTTTTGTTCTTTACTTGTTTTTTATTGTTACTTTACTGAATAAATTATCTTACTACTACTAAAATTTTAGGAATTTGTTTCTCTGGTAGGCCAAGTTTATCTACCATGGCTATGATCATTACTGAATAAAGTAACAATTCTAAACAAAGCAGTGGGCAAAATAGTATAATTTAGAATCAGATTTTTTTTTAAACACCATTATTCATTCTTAACACATACATTTTTTCAATTAGTTGTTTCTCATCCAAGGCATTTGGAAGATCTCTCTTGTTTCCAAGTACTAGCACCTTTAAAAAGAAAAGATATTGAGATTTTATATAAGAAAATGTCACAGAGCATACCATATTCATATCTGTAGATATTAAAACTGGAATGTTACCCGTAAAAATATGCCATAATATTAAAGCATATTTAGTATTATGATATGGTCTATATCTTTTAATCGTTCAAATTACCATTCTTTTAATTGCTACCACACAAATGTCTTTAATTCAGTAAGTGGCTGCCAGCTTCTACTTGAAATATTCTAAAGCCTATGGTATGCATTCTACTATTTCTTAAGAAATCTTAACCAAAATGTGAATATGCTCTTAACAATCAATGGTGAAAGAATGGCTTTTTTAACCACTAATCATGTGAACACATGAATAAGCTTTCAAAATTCCAGATCCATCCTACAGACTATCATGTACAAATATTCTAACATGATGGATAAATCTGGGGACCAGGATAAAGACAACAGCTATAAACTCTGGGAGTAACTATGGTCATCTGATGGCTTGATGTGCTTTGAAAATAAAGGAAAACAGAGATGGGCTTCCCAGTTACCACTCTTTCCCAGATACATCCTTTCTGCCTTACAGAAAGCAAAAAATGTGAGTACTCTAATGATTTGATAGCATCCATACTCTAGGTTAGTGTTTTCTAAGAACTTCTATCTATGACCCATCCCAACAAAGTACACACCATGTCAACCTCAGCATACCTATCTTTCACTTAACACACCCCAACCCCACCCCTGACCAATTAATTCTACTCATAGGTCCTAGGCTCTTATTTCATACAAAGGACAAAGAAACTAGGACGGAGGTACAGGAAGCCAGGGGTAAGGGGAGCTCTCAAGAGAATGTTAAGGGAGTTAGAGAGCCAAGAGTCAAATCTCAGCAGCTTTGGTCAGACTGCCTTCCCTCCCCCAGCTCCTAACCCTCTCCATACTCATACAGATTCTCAAGCTGGACATGCCTTAGCTTCTAATAACATACCAGCAGTCATTTGTGATCAGCTGTCACTTTGGGGGTTGCCTGGCATCTTAGCCCTCTTCCTACATTTAAGAAATCTCCTACCTTAAAAACCTGCATCCCAATAAAGCTACTTGCTTCTATAGATAATTTTCTTTCCAGCTCTACTTTCTGCTAGAGCATGAACACATAATCTAGATCAACCAAAAATTTGAGTGCAGAGTCAGCGATACAAAAGAGCAGGGATAGAGAACCCATTCTGATAGGCAAGGGGCTTCAGAAGATGACCTGCAAATCACAGCAATCGTGTCTGGTGTTCAGAAACTGCATGTGGTCACCAGGCTTGTTTTAGGCTGCAAGATGGGATGTGATACCGGCAACTCTTTAGCTTCCTTTGTTCCAAGTTAGTGAAATGCAGCCTCCTCAGAGACTCTCTGAGCTACCCAACAGCCTTTCAATGAAGTCCTTTCTACTTAAATTGGCTTTCTATTGCTAGCAATTACAGTGACCAAAATAAGACTGATTTTTACCTACAGTATACAGAATTAGTTTTTAATACAAAAGAAAAATAGGCTTTGAAGTCAGACAGATATGGACTCAAAACCTGGCTGCACAAAATACTAGTAGCCATGTGATCTTCAGTGAATAACAACTATTATAAAGGAGGGGTAGCACCATCAACCTCAATAAGTTGTAAGGATTAACGGAGATAATATACCTCAAGTACCTGACACACATGAGCTTGTCCTGAGGCTAAAGCCTGGTCCTTTTCTAGCCTTCCTTAGCGCAACAAATGACACCACCTTATATCTGACTACAGAGCTAGAAATTAGGAATTGTTCTTTACATTTCTCCTCTTCTAACTCATTATCATGTCTGGTGGACTGTGTTCCTAAATATGACCAAAATCTGTTTCATTCTCACCATCCTGTCTACTACCATACTAATCCATACTACTGTAATTTGCCAAGGCAACTTCAACAGCTTCTGACAATTGTCCTCTATATTTTCCTTCTTGACACTTCAATCCATTCTTAAACTGAAATCATTTTCTGATTTCAAAAATAAATCTGATCATTACTACACAGTCTACCCAGCAGACTCCCCAACAATGGCCCGGCTGCCACAGGGCTCGCCGCAGTGGGCTCCACCCTCCCCACTTTGCTCTGTGCTCTGGGGACACCGTCCTCCTCTCAGGGCGCTGCTTCCTCCTTCCAAAGAGCCACTGTCTGAAACTCCCTCTTCCTCCAGTTATCACATCCCTCACATGATCACACAACACTTACATCTCAGCTGAAGCATCACTTCCTCAGGGAATCCTTTCTTCCCTCAAACTACATCAAATCTCCCCTCTAACTTAAAACTCTCACACCCCTGTACCTCTCCTTCATAGCACTTAGAACAGCTACTATTCAAGTAATTTCATTTTATCTACCTTTCTTACTTTATCAACCACAAGCTCCATGACATCAGGAAACGTGTTTCCACCCACCTCTGCTCATCACTATATCCCCAGGCTTAAGCACTCACTGTTCCTACTGCATATAGTTTAATAAATAGCTGGTTAAGAAATGAATAATAGCACAGCATCCAGTAGATGGAAGATACTCAGTAAATATAAGCCTTCCAGAATTTAAAACAGAAAACATTTTACTAATTTCAAACATAATACTCATAATTTTAATTTAAAATTACATAATTTAATTATATTATTATAATTATAAATATTATAATCATATAATACACAATAACAAATACTCCATACTTACTGGAATTCCTTGTAACTGTGGTTTATCTAGAAGATTATGTAGTTCATTTCGAGAGGCTTCTATCTTTTCACGATCTGCGGCGTCTATCATGTAACTTAAAAAAAAAGTGATTTCAATTTGCCTTCTCCATATTCTTTGATGGTCACAATTAACAACAGATTTTTCTTAAGATTTATACTACTGAAATTGTTAACCAAAATAAAATCCTAGATAAATAAAAGCCTGGTCAGTCATCCTGATAGATTTTCGTCTTCCTCCTCCTTTCATGAAACAGTTTCTTTCTCTCTGCTTCTGAAAGATCAGATACTCCTAGTTCTCTTCCTACCTTGACGGATACTGATGGAAATGAAATGCTTAACACAGGACTGGTCTCAATACATGGTAGACATCCTCCTAAATGACCCTATAGATACTTTCTTTATAAAACACCTACTGAAATTTTATGGGAATAAATATTCCATATTGCACAATCTGGGAAATGCTAACAAGACTGTAATTTCTGAGACTTTATTCTTTCTGATTTTATCCATCCCACTTACAGTAATTTAAGACAACTTCAAAGAGAAAAATGTTAAAGTAGCACTAAAGAATAAGTCCCAAAAAGGCAAGAATATACAATGAGGAAAAGACAGTCTCTTCAATAAATGGTGTTGGGAAAACTGACACTACACGCAGAAGAATGAAACTGGGTCACTGTCTTACACCAGACACAAAAATAAACTCAAAATGGATTAAAGACCTAAATGTAAGACTTAAAACCATAAAATTCCTAAAACAAAACATAGGCAATAAACTCTTGAGCACTGGCCTTTGTAAAACTTTTTATTGGATATATCACCCCAGACAAGGGAAACAGAAGCAAAAATAAGTGAGACTACATCAAACTCAACAGTTTCTACACAGCAAAGGAAAAAAACATCAACAGAGTAAAAAAGCAACCTACAGAATAGAAGAATGTTTTTATAAATGATGTATCTGATAAGACACCCCTATATTTGCTGCAGCATTATTTACAATAGCCAAGATATGTAAGCAACCTAAGTAAGATGCAGTACATATATATAATGGAATGTTACTCAGACATGAAAAAGAACAAATGTTGTCATTTGCAACAACATGGAAGGACCTAGAGGGTGTTATGCCAAGTGAGATAAATGAGACAGAGAAAAGATTAAAAAACTGTATGATTTCACTTATAATTGGAATCTAAAAAAAAAAATAGAAATAAACTCATAAACATGGAGAATAAACTAAGATGGTTACTACAGAGGAAAGGGTGGGGCTTTGGGTTGGGGGGAAGCTCAGCACCCAAAAATACTTTTAAACAGGCTGTTCTTAGGTGCCAATATATGATAATAAAACATTTATATCCTTTTGCTCTTAGCTGCATAAGCAAAAAACAAAACTCTCATTCTGTTATTAAATTTTTTTGAGCTTCATGTTAACGGGATTACATTAAGAAAATATCTAAGAAATATTTATATTGCCTGAAAAATTGAGCCTTTGGGAAGTATTAAAAACAAATTTTTTTCCTTGAAACCTAAATTGACTTTTAAAAAAAGTGCTTACACAATAGCATTGACTCCTCTGCAGTACCGTTCCCACATGCTCCGGAATCGAGGCTGTCCTCCTATGTCCCAAATCTTTAAATCAAGACAGACAATTCTTAATAAAGGAATTTCAAGTAATACATTGAAGGAAAAAAAATGAAAACAGACAATTATTAATAAAGATATTTCAAACAATACATTGAAGGAAAAAGCAGAAGGAAGAAAGATCAGTCAGAATCGCTCATGTCCACAGTGTTAGAGCCAATTGCTCCTGAAAAAACTTGAGCTCAAACAAGCTCTTAATCTGGGAGTTCTTAGGGCCACTTCTAAGCCTGAAATTCTTATTTAATGTTTACACTAGATCTAATAAGTTCTGCTTGAGCAAAGATAGAGTCTTTGTGCAGTACTTTCTTTGCCTGGTAACCAATAAATTTCCAATACTGAAAATACATACCATTAAGATAACATTTTTGAAATCTACAGAATTATGCATTTGCCAGATTTGAATGCCATTACCGAAAACAACAGTTCATTCAGAATCTATTAAAGTTTAATTGTCTGACTGGGTATACATTAATGCCTAAATGTTTTTAATTATTCTGTAAAAACACGGCCAACAGACATTCCTACCTGCGTGTTTTTCTTACACAGTATTCATATGAAAGCCACTACTCACAATAACTTAATTGTTATGCCTGCTCTGTAGAGTAATGTTCTGGACACTGAGCTACATAAATGTTTTAAGTCATCGTATTTATCTTCAAAAGGCTTCCAGTGTAGCTACAGACACAGGTCACATGCACCAAGAGACATATACATGAAAAATTACAAGCTTCATTGGATGAGCTACAGAAAGAATTTAGTAAACAGCTTCTGTGAGCCACAAGAATTGGGTGAAATGGCCATAAGGGCTCAGGCTGTAGAAGTAAACTCCCATGAAGTACTGTACTCACGCAAAAAAGCCTAAAATATGGCCCCTAGTAAACAGTCCAGGATTTAAACCTGTCAAACTCATTCTAAGAACAAAATTATATTAGTTAACTTCTTCCAGTTTTGCAGTATTTTAGGGCTTAATAGTAATGAAAGGGAAAACTGAGTTATCATATTTGTTATCACAAATATAATATTAAGTTAGCAATATTATAAATAAAAAATTCCTTCAAAATAAAATGCTGTTCACAAAATAATGTAATATCACATTCCACACACTCTGCAGATGTGATTTTTATTTCCTTGGAACAACTAAATCCCCAATTTTACTTCTGTCAGCCGACATGCTGTTTTTTTATATGGGTACTTAACAACATTTCAACTCATACATTTTGATATATTAGAGAAAGAAAAAAACTGATTTACAGTCTTTTGGAACATACTCATTCATTAGTTAAGAACTGCTGATATTCGTGTAAAAAAAACAAAGAAACAGAAAAACCCCTAGCTGTATATGCTAACAATTTAAGTCAAGTATGGCAAGGAGATGACATACCTTTATCGTGACGTTACCTTTAGTTACTTTCCTCATATTGAAGCCCACAGTGGGTATCATGTCTTCACTGAATTGACCTGACTGAACAAAAGAAAACATCTGAAGTTAGACTAATCAATATTTATTAAGACATACAGCAATGCATAACCTTATAGCATCAACAGTTACCAATTTTAGTAAATAACAAATTTTGTAGTGGTGTTAACAATCTGCCCTAAGAAAACATTCTTTATACCCACAGTTCTCAAAGAGGTACATTATTTTGTTTATAAAAAGATATACTCTCCCATTAAAACAATATATTTTTGAAATAAAGTATTGTTTTTAACATATTCCCTTAAGTTTAAATATATATATTGTATATTACAAATATATATGAAAATTTATTAATTCCCCAACATATCCATAAATTGTCACACATAAAATCGAAGAAAATCAAAAGTAAAGCTTCAAAGTTTTCCATTTTTAGCATTTAAATTATTCTGACAATAACTGCTAATATCAACTGTTAAATAGCTTTTCCGAGTTTGTCTTTTAACAAGGCTTATAAAATGTTTTGTCATATAGAAGTTATGTAATCAATTCTGTTCTCTTTTTGGTTTACTGCCTTCCTATCAAAAGATAAAAATCAAATATTTTCTAATAGTATTTGAATGACTTTTTCAAATGTACAATGTTCATCCATTTGGATTCTGATGATACAGTGCAAGAAAGTTTCTTTTTCAAATGGATAACCAATAAATATTCCCATTCCTCATTAAAAAATCCACTTTCCTAACTAATTTGAAGTGATATGCCAAATTCCATATAGAGACATTTCTATGTCTGAGTCTTCAATTCTTTTCCATTTAGTCTATTTATTCCTAGATTAGGACTATATGAAATACTGCAGCTTATACTACATATTATTCTATATAACAGATCAAAAATTTGGAATGTTTTGAAATTGGTTCATATCTTACATTCCAAATAAACTTCAGAAATTAATAATTGTTAAAATATTGACTAGAATGACATTAAGTATATTAATTATCAATTCTTGATACTGTATCAATTAATAGCATATCAATTCTTGATATTTAACCACTATCAAGTCTTTCCATCCAGGCACATGGTTTACACACTCAAACATTCAAATCTTTTATATCCTTTTCAGTAAAGTATTATAATTCTTATAACAGGTCTTCGGCATCTCTTGGCATATTCTTTAACTACAATTGTGAAGTGCATCTAATGAGTCACAGTTAATAGTGATTTTATATATTTACATATTTATGTATTATATTTACAAAATATAAATTTCTCGTTTGACCTGACACTTACATTTTAAGTAAATAGCCCAGGATCATGAACTATCTCAACAAGGGATTGGTTAAACAAGTAGAACTATTTTCAAGGCTCTAACACTGGCCAGTTGTTTGCTGTGACCTTATGCTAGCCACACACATTCCAAAACAATGCACAAGTTGGGAGCACAATGAATTTCAATTTTACAAATTTCCTCTACATAACTTCAACAAGTGCTACTACCTCTTTGGTGCTGATTTTGGAATGATAAAACCACCATAATCATTACTTTCATTTTTATGAGACACTGTGATTCTCAGACCTTTCACATATTTCATTTATATGTAAAAACCTACTCATGATATCATAATCACATATATCAAAATTAGTCATGATACTACAAAAAATATAACCTGATTTAAAAAATGGGCAAAGGCAACACGAAAAGCATGATCCATGAAATAATTAATAAGATGGACTTCATTAAAATTAAAAACTTCTGCTCTGTGAAAGACAATTGTCAAGAGAGTTATAAGACAAGCCACAGAATAGGAAAAAATATTTGTAAAAGATACACCCAATAAAGGCTTATTACCCAAAATATACAAAGAATTCTTAAAATTCAACATATGAAAACAAGCAATCCAATTAAAATATGGGCCAAAGACCTTAACAGACACCTTACCAAAGCAGATACACAGACAGCAAAAAAGCACATGAGAAGACGTTTCACATCATAAGTCATCGGGGAATTAAAATGACCAGATGCCACTGCACACTTTAATAGTGGCTAAACTCTGTTACACAGGTAACACCAAATATTGGTTAGGACGTGGAGCAACAGGAACTCTCACTCATGTGTGGTTGGAATGCAAAAGAGTACAGCCACTGTGGAAGGCAGTTTGGTGGTTTCTTATAAAACCTAACACTCTTACCATACAACCCAGCAATCATGATCCTTGGCATATTCAACCCCCAAAGGAGTTGAAAACTCAGGTCCACACAAAAGCCTGTATGTTAATGATTATAGCATCTTTATTCATAATTGCAAAAACTTGGAAGCCACCAACAGGTCATTCAGCAACTGAATAAACAGACTGCATTATATTCAGGTAATGAAATATTATTCACCACAAAAAAGAAATGAGCTACCAAGCCAAAAATAGACATGGAGGAACCCTAAATGTGTATCTAAATTAAAGACCCAATCTGGAAAGCCTACATAATTCATCATTCTAAAATTTGACATTCTGAAAAAGGCAAAACTATGGAAACAGTAAAAAGATCAATGGTTGCCAGGGCTTAGAGGGCTGAATAGGCAGAGCGCTGAGGATTTTTTAAGCAACAGATATACCCTGCATGATACCATAATGATGGATACATGTCATACATTTCATTTGTCCAAACCCAGAGAATGTACAACACAAAGAGTAAGCCATAATGTACTTGGTAATTATGATATCTCAATGTAAGTGCATCAGTTATACCAAATGGACCACTCTGCTGTAGGATGTGGGGAAGCTGTGAGTGTAGAGGCACAGGGTATATGAGAAATATCTGTACCTTCCCCTCAATTATGCAGTGAACCTAAAACTGCTTTTAAAAGTCTTAACAAAATGGAAAAGAAAAATGGTCAAAGGATTTGAATAGACATTTTCCAAAGGAAATTCACAAATGTATAATACATGAGAAGATGCTCATCATCACTAATATTAGGGAAATGCAAATCAAAACCACAGAGATACAACCTCATACCCATTAGCATGTATGAAAATAAAGGGAACTTCATTGACATGGAGCCAGAAGATCAGCAAGGGGGCCCTCATGCTCTACCACTCAATTGCAGATGCCACCTGAGGAGAGGGGCCTTGCAAGGGGATACTACTTTAGCTACTACTTTACCACCACAACACGAAGAAAGAAGTTTTTTCTCCTCCCTAGGCAACAGCCCAGTCAATGAGAGACTATCACAATGCAGCCAATGAGAAGCCACTAAACAAAGAACTCCCAGTTTACTGCAATGGACTTTTTGTTTATAACAGCCTCCCAACTCCACTCTTTCCTCTATAAAACAATGTTCCTCTCCTTTGTTCTTGGGACTTATCTATAGCTTTGCCACAGCTTGCATGTCCCAAACTGTAATCCAATGCTATTCCTGAATAAACCCATTTTTGCTGGCAAAATGAGTTTTATTTTTAAGGTTAACAGACGGCTACTAACAAAATAATAACAACAAGAAATGTTAGTGAGGGTGTAGAGAAACTGGAACCCCAGTGCACTGCTGTTAGAGCACTGTAATATGATACAGGTGCTCTGGAAAACAGTATGGAAGTTCCTCAAAAACCTAAAAATTAAAAATTACCACGTGATCCAGCAATTCCACTTCTGCGTATATACCCAAAAGAAATGAAAGCAGGCCTTCGAAGAGATACTTGTACGCCCATGTTCACAGCAACATTATGCACAATAGCCAAAAGGTGGAAGCAGTCAAAGTGTCCATAGGCAGATGAATGGAAAAACAAAATGTGATCTATTCCTACAATGTAATATTATTCAGCCTTAAAAACTTTATTCATGCTACAGCATGGATGAACTTTGAGGACACAATGCTAAGGGAAACAGGCCAATTACAAACAGACAAGTGCCACATGATTCCACTTATATGAGGAACCTAGAGAAGTCAAATTCACAGACAGGAAGTAGAATGGTGGTTGCCGAAGGATAGGGAGATGGAGGCAAAGAATTTGCTGCTCTGTGGGTAGGGAATTTCAGTGTGGAAAGACAAAATGGTGGTGATGGTTACACAACAATACGAATGTACTTAATACTATTAACTGAACACTTAAAATAGTTCAGATGGAAAATTTTGTTTTGTGTATCTTATCACAATTTTTTTTAAAAAGCTAGTATGATACAAGGACAGGCAATTATCACTACTATTTTATAAAAAAGTAATCAATTCTCAAGGCCACATGGCTCAACAGTGGTTGGTTATACTTAAAGATTTTCATTGCAATTATATGTATTCTAATTGGCTTTACTTATTCTCTGAGGAGAAGTCTGTGTGAGACAATGCATCATTTAGTTGGTATCATTAGGATATACGTTTCTTACATAATGAATAAGCCAGAAACGCTAGCAAAACTTTTTAGGCACCAAAATTTATGAAGTAACTTGCACAAAAGCATTCCTAAAATGCAAAACTACTTGACTAACTTCTCACACAGTCTACAGAACATGATTTAATGTGTTCTCGGTGTTTGAGGGTTATTTTGTCACCTGCAAAATAAGAAAACTAAATTACATAACCCTTAAGGGCCCTTCTGGCAGTAAAATTTTATGATTATGAACATCAATTATAGTACCACCCCATGATAAAATGATATAAGGGGCTGCAGTGTACTGAGGTGTCCCTGAACTTTCTTAGACATTCTTTCATCTCTTTACTCACCATTACCTCTTACTGCTGGCAGATGCTAAATAACTTTCCCTAATTCGGTTGCTACTGGTACTCTCCAAGGGCTGAAAATTAGGTAATCAAGTTCTTTGGTTTTTAATTCCAAAATGTCTTGAGTACAGCAGTATATTCACTAAGTATCAGTTAACTCTGATGCATGGATTTTGTGGTAAACTACTTCATAGACTTGGGGGCATTTTCTACTTCTTTGTTAGTGTCAAATCTTAATCATCACTTTTCAGAACTTGTGGTGAATGACTAAACAAACCACTTGTTGGCAGCTGTGCTCTGGGTAACTGAGAACTTACTTCTACACTATCAAAATACCACTAAACTG